CCAAAATTCTTCATTAAACCAAAGCAATATCCAGTGAATTTCTCTACTTAATATTCTCGCAGTCCTTATCGCAGGGATGCCTACCATCCGACTGGAAACTGGGTAAGGTCGTTCCGGTCTTTAAAAATGGGGATCGTTCTTCGGCTTCGAATTACCGCCCTATATCTCTAACCTGCGTAGCCTCAAAACTCCTAGAGCATATTATCTACTCAAACGTTGTACCTCATCTTGAGAGTAATAACTTGTCAACGTAGCAGCTTGGGCGAGTTGGTTGCACATGATTACACACACCACAGCGCACTATAGCAAACAACACTCACACCTTTCACACGAAAAATAAAGCAAAATTCAAACAAACCACGCTGTTTGTTTGAATTTTGCTTTATTTTTCATGTGAAAGGTGGGAGTGTTGTTTGCTATAGTGCGCTGTGGTGTGTGTAGTAATAACTTCTTTTACAACAAGCAACACGGTTTTCGTAAGGGTCTGTCTTGTAAGACGCAACTCGTAGAATTCACCCACGAGTTATACACTAATTTTGAATCCAACTACCAAACTGATGCCCTATTTTTAGACTTTTCAAAGGCTTTCGACCGCGTTGCTCACTGTCGCCTGCTTGCCAAACTTTCATGCCTCGGAATTGACCCTCTCATTCTCTCCTGGATCCAGGATTTCCTCTCCTCTCGCTCTCAATTCACCACAATTAATAGCTCCTCATCCCGCGCTGAGGTTACTTCGGGAGTTCCCCAGGGCTCGGCTATTGGTCCCCTACTTTTTCTGATCTTTATTAATGACATTCCAGGCAAAATTTCCTCTAACATCCGCCTTTTCGCTGACGACTGCGTCCTATACCGAAGAATAGCTTCTTTTGAAGACCATTTTTACTTCAAAGAGACCTGGACGAAATCCAGGCATGGTGCACCAGGTGGTTAATGACGCTAAACAAATCTAAATGCAAGTTAGTCCAGTTTTCACGAAAACGGCAGGCATCTCAGTTCTCGTACAAGTTAGAAAATAACTTAGTCGAAGACGTCCCGTCCTATAAATACCTCGGTGTGACTCTAACTAAAGATCTTACCTGGAACGCTCACATCGAACTTATATGCGCCGAGGCGTCTCGCTGCCTCGGTTACATAAGACGAAACCTGAAATCGGCTCCCCCATTCGTGCAAAAATTGGCTTATGAGACACACATTCGACCCAAATTGGAATATGCTGCGGCCATTTGGAGCCCTCACCAAATATACTTATTAAATCATCTCGAGGCAGTCCAGAACCGCGCTGCCAGGTTTATTTTGAAGAAATACGATTGATCGGTTAGTGTATCCGCCCTAAAGAGCGAACTGAACCTTCCTTTACTAAACGTCCACCGTAAGATAGCGCGACTCTGTCTCACAAAATTTACTACTACCTCCCTGCGCTCCGAGACCCGCTCCTCCTACCCCCCAGGCGATCTTCATCGCGGCTAAATCACCCGTTTCACGTTTCCCGCATCTCAGGCAGCACATCCTATTTTAACTCCTCCTTCTTCCCTCGTACTATTGTAGACTGGAACGACCTCCCCTCACTTATTGTGACCCAGACGGATCCCACCGCATTTCGCAACGCTCTTTGTGCACATTTCTGTTAGTCCCACTGTGCCTTTTTTATTTGTTTGTCTTGTGCTTTACTGGCTGTATCAATGTTTTCATCCCCTTACATCCCCATGTACCCAGACTAATTTGTGTATTGCCGTTGCTCGTGGCGATGCCACATTGTTTTGCAGCACCCCATGGATGTATTCGCATATATGTCGTTGTTACTGTTTTATACTCTTGTGTTATGTACCCCTCCCCTTATGTAGTGCCCTCAACGAGGGCCTTTAAGGGAACTTGAATAAATGGATTATGTTCCACAAGCTTGCGTGCACACAGTCTCTTAGTTAAAAGCAGAATACTCTTCCGTCGCGCTGAGGCCCGCCATCTGACACGGGGGATTCGCGTCATAGGCTATCGAACGCGGGGCAACAAGGCCGGGGCGCTTACCGCGGGGCATTTCACACGGGGATTTTAGACATTGGGTGCTTTCGTGCACTTCATCCAACATTCGCCGCTATTTTCGAAAATAACTGATTCACCCCCGATTAAGCCTTAGGGCAATGCATACCGGTTAAAAACACACACACACACACTGTATGGGGCAATGAAAGTGCATAACAAAAAATTGTGTTCAAAAGTGATTGTGCCTTACTTTGAAAGTACATTGTATTTACGGTACTTTACTTCCAAGTACACTGCGTCCAGTGAACTATACAACTTTACATGAAGTACGTATACCTCTCATTTGGGCAGACCGAGTGCCCCTTTGAGTTCGTAGCTACCGAGTAGACCGCGTTGCTTGCCGAACCCTCGCACCATGCTGCTCCGGACTGTACGCCGAGCTTCGCCGCCCATCGTTATAATTACTGTTCCTCGAGCCGCCTTAGCGCCGCTCAGCCTCGGCACCGGTGTACTGCGAAACGCCATCCCAAATTCGACGCGGCTGCTCAGCTCTGGCGCGGCTTCCCATGCGCCCCCCCCCCCCCCCCCCCTCCCGCTTCCTCCTCCTTCCGAGCTCCAAACACACGCAGACACCACATATGATCATACCTCGGCAAACCTCACTCATGAGGGCCCTCACTCACCCTCACTCACCCTCATCTTCACAGGTGAGGTGAGGGTGAGTGAGTTTCTGAACCAGGAAAATTCATGAGTGTGAGGGTGAGTGAGGGCCGTGAGGGTGAGTGAGGGCCGTGAGGGCCGTGAGAGCTGTGAGGGCGGTGAGGGTCGTGAGGGCCGTGAGGGCGGTGAGTGGCGTGAGGGCCATGAGTGCGTGAGTGGTGGGAGGGCGGTGAGTGGCGTGAGGGGTGTGAGGGCCATCAGTGCGTGAGGGCAGTGAGTGGCATGAGAGGCGTGAGGGCCGTGAGGGCGGTGAGTGCATGAGGTGTGTGAGGGCCATGAGTGCGTGAGGGCGGTGAGTGCGTGAGGCCCCCTTCAGATCGAGCGTCTTTCTCAGCAATTTTGGTGGTAATGGCGGGTTGTTCTCTAGCTTTCCCTAGATCGACACGAATTGCTAAGATCGGGTCCGGCTCGAAATAAGCAAGCAACTCGGAGCAATTTGAATGCGTTCGAAGCGGCTGCATCCAATCAGGGACGCAACATTTTCACGGGATACCTCGTGCCGGTGATGATGACACCGAAAGACTTGGTTCTGGTTTGAAGTCAATCGTTTTTTTTTTTTTTTAATAAACTGTTTCAGGAAGGTGCATTAGTATTCTTAACGAGATTTAAATGCATAAAAACACGTTTGTAACACGTAATTGTGTCTAAATAGTGCAAGAAAAATAAAATTTTATGATGACGATGGCAAATTGCAGCAATTGATTGCTGCGTGTGATCGCGGGCGGCCCGTGTTGCTGGTGTTGCGACGTAAAGTTTCTGGGCGAAATTGCCCCATCTGAAGCTGGTCTCAGTGGCGTGAGGGCCATCAGTGCGTGAGGGGTGTGAGGGCCGCAAGGGCGGTGAGGCGCGTGAGGGCGGTGAGTGGCGTGAGGGCGGTGAGTGGCGTGAAGGCGGTGAGTGGCATGAGGGCCGTGAGGGCCGTGAGGGCGGTGAGGGCCGTGAGGGCCGTGAGGGCAGTGAGGGCGGTGAGTGGCGTGAGGGCTATGAGTGCGTGAGGGCCGTGAGGGCCGTGAGGGCGGTGAGGGCCGTGAGGGCGGTGAGGGCCGTGAGTGAGTGAGGGCCATGAGTGAGTGAGGGCCATGAGTGAGTGAGGGCCATGAGTGAGTGAGGGCCATGAGTGAGTGAGGGGCGTGAGGGCCGTGAGTGCGTGAGGGCCGTGGGGTTCAGTGAGGGTGAGTGAAGGGCTGAAGGTGAGTGTGACTGTGAGGGTGAGGGTGAGTTAGGGGCCGAAGGTGAGTGTAGCTGTGAGGGTGAGGGTGAGTGAGGGGCTTATGTGAGTGTGGCTGTGAGGGTGAGTGAGGGCGACCTAAAATGCCGACCTCTGCATATGATTGCCTCGGAGTTTCTCTCGGTAATATTATTTACCTGATTAGCACTTTTTTTCCTTTTGAAGATGAGGGAATAAGGACCACTGGATTGGTTAATGCTAAAAGTGAGCAATTTTATGGGGAGAGAACAAGTATCCCGAAAAAACGCTACGAGGCAGGAAGAAGTCAAATAATGGTTTCGAAACTGCACCACTGATATTGAGTCACTGTATTTTAAACACTTGCACACACAACCTCACGGTTTGGTGGCCTTATAAATGATGTCACACTTGAAAACTGCAAATGGATCGTGGAGCTGCCAAGTTTTGGTCACATGTCCCGACCAATCCAAACAGAGGAGCCAAACGGGACACGTGCCACATTGAGCCAGTGACCTGTCACACTGTGCCAGTGCAGATCAAAACTTCCCAAAAAATGTGGTAACAGGTGATGAAACCTGGTTGTATAAATAAGAAATTCAAACAAAAGTCCTCACAGTAAGTGGGAGAATCAGCCCCTCGATTGAAGAAGGCTTAACCATGTTGATCCAATGTAAAGGTTGTGTCAGTTGTGCTTCTTTACTGCAGGGGTGTCATTTGTCACAAGTTTCTTCTATGTGGCTACACTGCCAATGTGTAGTTCCATGTCCATGTTCCAAACGCTTGAAAAGCAGTGCGACAGAAGAGGCCAGATGAGTGGAAAAACAAGAAGTGGATGCTTCACCATGACAATGAAGCCACTCATGCCTCACTCCAGGTTTGTGGAATAATTCCACAGTCACCTTACCCCCCGATTAGGTCACTGTCGAGTTCTTTCTGTTTCCGAAGCTGAAATCGACACTAAAGGGTCGTTGACTTCAGACGATAGACACCAAAAAAGAAACTTTGTTGCAGGACATGCATCGCATTCCAGATAGTGATTTCCACGGTGCATCCCTGAAATGGAAGAACCACTGAGAGTACTGCATAAGTACAATTTTAAAAGAGGCAAGTTTGATTTGTTGGTAAACATACTAGTTAATTTTTTTATTTTCTGGAAGTTCAGTTTCTTTCTGAACAAGACATATATCCGAGAGCTAATGTCGGAGATAATTACCGTTTCAACAACTCGCCTGCATTAACTTGAGTGTCTTCTGCTAGTCACCATCACGACATTCCACATAGTAGTCCGATTCTCACAGATGCCACCTTTCAGCCAGTGCCCCACCCTTTACAGTCCCTACACTGCTGAATGCTTTCCCCAACATACGGGAATGTCTTTATTTAGGGCCTTGAACTTCAAGCTGCTGCGAAATCTTCTCGCACAACTTACAAAGAAGCTCGCTTGCTTAGGTGTTCAAGGTGCGGCCCGGAGGCCTTGTCAGCTGAGCTGCGGGGTCTCGTTGGAATCTTCAGATTTGTCGTCAAGAGCGACAGCTCCTTTCCGCTGGGGAATGGTCTCCAAGAAGGCGTCCTTCCAGGAGAGCCCCTCTGTGACCTTGAGCAGGATCTGGAATACTGCAAGCCACACAGAGGTCCCGTTGGTTACAACCAGAGTCACTAAACACTTATGGTATTGGCACTCCATTCCCAATTATCTTGTGGGCACCGCCACTTAGGCGCTTGTGCAGAGAAGGCGGAACTGGTGACGATCCAAAAATGTGGCTTCCTCAGCTTCAGACACGGAGTCAGGAATCTTGGGCAACAGCGTTTTGCTCTGTCGCAGACTGTTTTTAACATTTATGGTGGATAAAAAAATAATGTGGCCCGAGTTTTCGGATAATGCTTGAGATTGCTGGCAACAATGATCTTAAGCAACAGGATGGCTAAAGTGTTGTTACTACTCTGAAGCTGAAGCTCTAGTTACAAACAAAACCTCTCCGCAGTGAAGTTATTAAAAAAAAATACTTTGTTACATAAGCAACTTTTTTACGTTATCAGTAGTGCAACATTACTTTAATCCCATTTTTACTGCACAGTAGAACACTCCCTTAGTACAGTCAGTTTTGCCTAATCATAGCTACATCATGTGGTGTTGCAACTGGTGTGACTAGATGGTGCATTTGTTTTGTAAAAATGTAGAAAGAACCAAAATTTACTAACAAAGACTACACGTCAATATGAACCAACTGGCCAAACTATCTTCTCTGCTGTAACCAAGACCAATTTTCTGTAGTTCAATACAGATATAAACCTCTTCATGCTAAAAAAAACAACATTGCTGGAGGTTATTGGACCATTTATTGATGCAGAACACATTGAATGTCCACTATTGGACAATATGCAAGGGGATATTAGTCAGAATTTTATGAAGTCACACTTCAAGTAATATGTTCCAAACAAACATGTTTGATAGCAATAAGCCAAGAATTGAAAAGAACAGCAAACTAAACAAAAGTAAGAATAATTTTCCTCCCTCTAGACCTTTCAGCGTCAGTCTCAAGCGAAGCGATTTACAGCGTGCAATCTGATTTTGAGAGTGTACGTCAGAGTTGCCCGACTGCGCTGGGCTGTGGGTTTTCTCGTCAGTGGGCTGTGGCAGCCTGCATAGGCGCAATTCCGGAGTAGTGACAAAATTGCCGCATTTTATTGTTTCGTTTGTGTTCTATGGCAAAGAGAAGTTCTCAAAGTTTTCAGGAAAGCATTGTACTATTTTTGAAAACAAAAACAAACAAATGAAGCTATTTTTGTGAGTCTGTGCACGACAGAACAAATGCAACAGAAATGTTTGGGTCATATTATGTTAATATTTTGTTCACGGCACCATGCACTCAGCCGCGTCAATCTAAAAAGGTCTTAACTGTCGAAAATATTTGACCACACAGGCTAGCCGAATAGCCCTTAAAACATGAAATTCAAAGAGCCTCACCAATCGAACAACATACGCCTATATTGTACATACCACACGGTGCGGCATTATCTGAAGAGGATTTGAGAATTTTAAAAAAACACAGCATATCCAATACACAGTGTCGATGACAGCCACTTCAAGACGATTGGATGGAATCCGGCTTGTTTTGAGGAGAGCTGTTTATTTGCACAGCACCAAAGCAAATGGAAGAATGTGTCTATTCCATCCCCGGACCCTATCAGCTATTTTTCGCGAAGACCGGGAACATAGCCGAGTACGCTTTTCGGAGGTTATGTCAACGGAAATAATCCTCAAAGGACGTCGAACAGCCCGCGTCGCGAGCTGCTTCACGTTCGCTCTTTTCATTCATTTCCTCCGAAGGCCGAGCAGGCTACGAGCACTACTATTCCCTGGTTCTCACAGTAAAAAATAACATAAAAAGGGTAAGCATCCTGAACAGGCAAAAAAAGTAAAAACTTTCAAGAAAAGCTGGCGAACCCCGAATGCACAATGCAGAGGGGGGTCGCGCTGACCGGGTTTCCACAGCTCAGGCAGGTGGCAGAAATTTCCGGCCGATAGGGGTCGCTCGTTTCGCAAAATGGCGGCGGCCAGAGAGCTCTTTCTGCAAAGGTCTATACCAGTGGTTCTACACCATTGATGTTTCCCGGACCCCTTGTGAATCGGCAGAGATCATGGAGGGCCCCGTTTGTGGTGAGGGGAAGGGTAAAGTATAAGTTAATTATGATAACGATTTAATAAATGGATACACTAAAGGCTCATATGAAGTAGTCTTCTCTCATTCACATACCTACAAGAAAACTCACCCGAAAATTTGAATCTTTCACCTCGCTCTGAAAAAATGCAGCTTCTAGTTCCGGGCTTGACTGATAGGCAGGGCTTTGCAGAACCCTAGATTGCCTTTGCGACCCCCATTTGAGAATGCTGGTCTATACCATATACTGTTTTCACAAAACAACAAAGGGAGCACTTTTTCTTTAATTTGACATAAAATCTCCTTAACTTCCTATCAGTCGATGATCACATTAGGGCATTTCATAATTCTGCAAATAAATTGACCACCTAACTGCACCTTTGTGATAAATTATAGTGTACTGGTGCACAAAGCCGAGTGGTGCAATTTATTTAGACAGGGTTTGATTCATTAGCCTGCACAGCTGAATTTCTGACTATTTAGTTATGTCATAAATATTTTTAGTAGTACATACAAATACCTAGTGCATACACTCACTAGCAGTGCAAAGATGTCGAACACATTTATGAGGAAAGGTTGTATTTTTCTTAAAACTTAACTGCATACTGTGCAAAATAACAGCAATGAACTGAAAAAAGTAGAGGACAAAAAAAAATTAAAATTTCTCTTAATTGGAGTCATGTTCTAAATATGGGAAATCAGCAATTTAAATTGACATAGTAACGAGGAATGAGCAATACTGACCTAAAAGTTTGGTAAAAACTTCTCATACAGAGAAACAAATATTATACTGGTAACGCTGCATCTTCAACAGTGCCCCATAACCAATATACTACTGCAGTTTTTTAAAATTGGTGAAAATTGCCTCCCAGCACAAGCGCCTACCTTCCTCCGTGCTTTGGCGTAGCACAAGCTTTAAGCATGCACTACAAAAGGCAGCCAGCTCATGCTCGAACCAACCAACTGAAAGCACCCTGCCTATCATTGTAACAAAGCTTTTAGTGATTGAAGTGTCATTCTTTCAATTCCTCTGTCCCATTTTTATTCAGCGATACATTAAGTGTCGCAAACACTCCGTGAAATCAGCGCAACAAGGAGGTTTACAATGGAGTCAGAAGCGGAGCAAAACTTTAGTCTTCAATAAGATCCATAGCCTATGACGTCTTGGGCCGTGCCACTTATTCAAATGCCGGCAAAACGGCGAACAACTGATGAAGTTATCAGTATAAGCGAGCGAGAGCGAAACTGGAAAGAAAACTGGAAGCATGAAACATACTGTTGGTGAATGCACTGCTCGCGTGCCTTGTTTGGGCCTTTGGGAGTTTCCAGAAAAGTACATCTATGAGATTTGTTTCTAGCCTTTGTAGGCACTCCACCAACGAGTACCTCAACCCTACTCTCTTATTGCTTTCAAAGAAGGGAAGACAGACCTTGGTCAATGGTGAGCACTTTCCTCGTCTTCAGGACAAGGTAGCTGTCAATCGGGAGACGGGCGTGCTGCACCCCTTGCTCTTCGGCCAGCCTGTGGCACAGGCCCTGCACAGTCACATCTCCTCTGTCAGGTCAAACCTTGAGTCACTAGATACGATCAGAGTGTAGGCACTTCAATTCATGATTTTCTCGTGGGCACCGCCATTCTGGCGCTTAGTGCGGAGCGCGCGCAATTGGCGATTGCTACGATTGAAAACATATTTCCCCGAGCTTTCAAAAGGGTGTCAGAAAGCTCAGGCGATATCATTTTCCTCTGTTGCAAACGGTTTCAATATTTCTGGAGGATGGAAAAGCGTGTCCTGCAATTCCAGATAATGATTCAGGTAACTGGCAACCGAGATTTTGAGGATCGAGATGGCTGCCATGCCATTACTCTAAAGCAGGGTCTCCAAACTCCAGCTTGCGGAGGCCTTCCAACCGGCCCGCAGCTGGCCGCGCTCGTTCCAGGAATGCCCTGGGGCTCTAAGCCTGGACATTCGGCAAGAAAGTCGGCAATATCGCCGACCACTGCGGTTGGCCAGTGCCAAGTTCAAGCACGGTGCTGACCAATTGCGGCAGTCGGTGAACTAGCCGACTTTCCCGCCAAGTGCCCAACTCAGAGCCCCTGCATGAGGCACGGCCTAGCAGGCCCCCTGCTATTGGCGCAAATATAAGCATGCATAAAGGAACGGGGCTGCGATGTGCAACCGACGCGGCCACGGACATATTGAAAAAACAAGAACTATAAATTTAGTTTTTTCTTATTTTTGCATTTTCTTATTTATTTTCCTACCCTCGAGACGTCGACTAATCCCCAGTCCGGTTCCTTAGTAAAAAAGTATGGAGACATCTGCTTTAAAGCGTGGCTTATTTAGTGGCTCTAGCCAACCCGAGCCACAGCACCTTGGCCATCCCGCGCGTCAAAAGGCTCGAACACGAACCTTGCACCTGTTGTGGTCAACGAGTCCGCCTATGACGTACGCCTTGCCTTCCTCCAGCTCTTGCAGCTCGTTTTCAGACTCGCTGCTCAGATAGACCACGTTTTCTTTTCCGAAGCAACTCAGGTGGTCCCCTTCAGAGAAGTGAACCTGTAGAGACACCAGGCAAGTCACCACCGTGTAATCCAGTCCACTCCACAAGAAAAGTTCAAGTGACCAGATACTTTGCTTCTGCTATTGTTCATATACTCAACCATCACAGGAGAATGCTTAAAGCCCCATTGCCTCCAATGAACAATTTCAAAACAAATCTCCCTTAGTGCACCCATATTAGCGGAAAACAAACAGCGCAAGGACAAGGACAGAGTAGAAGGCGGTAGACACACACAGCGCTGACTTACAACTGAGCTTTATTGGCACTGACAACCTGTATAAATACACAATTTGCCCGGCCCAAAAGCCAAGAAAAAAACACAAGAGGAGGACTACACGTGTTCCTAGAGTCATCTGCAGGCGCCGTTGCTCTCCGATCTGAGTAGAAAAATACACTCCTTTTCCGTCAAGGCAAGTGACGGGGCACTAACACACTCAGAGCCCCATTGTCCAATGGCGCGGGCTGTGTGGTTTGAACTGTCGCGCTTCCGTGGCTTTCCTGAGTCATTAAAGATTAACATTATTATTATTAGATGATAATTATTAAACAGTAGTGGTGCAGAACTATAGAAAAATTTACTATCAATACTACTGATGGTTTTTCGAAAACTATTGATAGTGTCTATAGTGTCGAACACTATTGATAGTGGATTGTTAATAGTACTATTAATAGTAGACTATCAATAGCTGGCTCTCGGTTCACTATCAATAATATCGAAAGTCAACTTTCAGAGAAGTTTTCAGTGTTACAAGAAATGAGAGCGCAGCCCAAAAGGCAGATAACAACATATATGGATGGGCAGATAAAGCAGGGCTCTGAGCAGACCATGAAATGGAAAGGAAACTAAGCATAAAGTTGCATTCTCATAGAATAATTTTAGTGCTAAAAGAGATATGGCACTGTGCTACTTTTCCTGTGCTTTTGTATGTTCCTGTGGTTCAGATGTCAGGCTACGCACTGTAGTATGCCCCCATTCATAAAAAAGATAAAAATTACATTGTTTTTTTGTTTGTCTTAGATTTTCGGGGCTTTTGACTAGCTTTTTCATACTTTTGTTTCATCAATTGTCACCCATTACCTCTCATTGTCTTGATCACTGACAGGTGAAAATAAAAACTCTGATAGGGATCATACTTTTTTTTTTTTTTTTTTGCTGATGACTATTTATAGCTAATTCCCAAAAGTCAAGAATTAGCTGTTGACAAAAACAGTTACTAGTCTTGTTTGCCATGACATATTGCCACTTTTTCTTCCATTCTATTTTGGCAGATTTTGAAAATGGCAGCTGGTAAAAGATTTACCTGTTGGTATAAAATACAACATAAAAATGTAGGACCCATCTGATAATGAATAACTTAATATTTTTAAGTCAATAGATATAAAAAATTTTGTTCTGGATACTTCAAATTAAACATTACAAGGAATAAGAAAAACTTATAACACCAACATTGTTAGTTACTGATGTATTTTTTTTTTCCATTCTTCAGATACCACAAGTTTGGGAACATGACATTAAGTAGATAAAATATAAAAGATACAAAACGAGTTTCCCGTGATTCAATAACGAAACTGCTGTGAACAGAACATTATCTCAGTGAAAATATGCTTGTGACTCAGAAAGGCAATATTGTTCCCATTCTTTCTCGCAAGCTGTTTGGTTGAAAGAAACACTACAAATGTCTTTTCATCTAGGTCAGGGTCGACGAAGGAATTTTATTTTCCTGACTGAACTGTTTATAAAAGCAAAATGTGAACTCCCAGAAAGCAAACTAAAAACAGCTGAAAACCCTCAAAAACCTATATGAAAAATACAGATATTTAACTGCCAATATATTTCATTCAGTTTCTTATAGTTAGTATACAATCAATAGTTTTTCAACAGGTTATAGTCAAAAGTTTTTGAAAGGATTTCCACCGTTTTCCAATGGTCCTCAATAACAATGGCATAGCCAGGAATTTTTTTCAGGAAAGGGAAGGGGGGGGGGGGGGGCTGTAGCACCATAAGCCCCCCCCCGGGCTATGCCACTGCTCGATAATTATGCGGAAATCTCTCATTACAGGTCCGTTTTTCTCCAAGCTTCACATAATATCTGAGATGGATTTTTAAGCTTCTTTGTCACCCAATAAAATACTATCAATAGCATTCTGATAGTTGGCTATTTATAATTTCACAATAGTCGACAGACGATGGTATACTATTGATCGCCTCAATTATAGCCGACTATCAATGGTTTCACGACAGTTGTCTTATCGATAGTTTTATGATAGTCGAGTATCAATAGTACTATCAATAGTTTCTTGATAATCGACCACCGATAGTTTTGCACCACTAACATACAGGCATTGCCTGCATGTCTTCACTTAAAAACACATATACTGACTGCTGATGGTGCAGGTAGAACATGGAAATATTCGCATTGTTTATCTGAGTGCATAGACTGCACAAAAGTGGACGATGTAAGCCTCCTCCTGAACGAAACAACATGACAAACAAAATGTACAGATCTCGAAAACAATTGTGACACTCTGCAACAACTTTATAGACTGAAAGAGATCAACGACAACAGCAAATGCGGTGAGATGCTGTTAAAGTTCTGAGCAAGTACCAGCTCTATGAAAAAAAAGTCAGCTAAAGCGGGCACAAAATACTATGTTACAGTTTGTACAAATAAGTGAGTGGAAGGTAATAAATTGGTCATACTTGTTAAAAGCATGATTTTAACAGGGTGCCAAGAGATCTACCATAACTAGCCTAGCAAGAGATGGGAAATGTCCACTCTTACTCACGTCCCAATTATTGAAGCCATTGATCAGGGCTGCACTTTGCTTGAACGATCCTGCAATCCCTGTCAGGTATAGCTCCAGGAAGAAAAAGAGAGGAAAATATAAAATAACGGTGAAAGGAGAACTGTTCCTAAGCTGTGGTACAATATTTGCTTCAAAAAAAAAAAAAAAAAAAAATCTCTAGGGATTGGTAATTTTTTTGGGTACAGCAGTCATTTGAATGCAGCACTGATAGGCAATATTTATTTCAGTACCCAGTACCCTCAATGCCCTGGGGCATTACAGAAGGGAGTGGTACAAGACAAATTTGGAATACAAGCTGTATACAAACACTAAAAGCCAAGCACTAAAATGTAAAAAAAAATGTGCAAACAAGTTAAGAAATTTATAGAACAAAGCAAACAAACAAAGAAGAATATTAACATAAGTAAGCAGTCACCACACTTTTAAACAAGTCAAAGGACGGTATGTTGCAATTTTGCGATATTAAAATTGCATATCATGTAATTGTAATAGTACTGGTCAAAAGTGAATGATGATTGCACATATGTGCAAGAAGTTAGTTAAATTGATCAATTACAAAGCACTGCTAAAGCAACTACGGACTACAAAGAATTCCAAAACTTTCAAAGCTCCCAACTACCAAACATACAATGTATAAAATAGCAACTAAAATGCCCTGCATCATCACATGATGTGCACCTGAATGGATTTCTAGACCTCTCAACGTCCATCTGCTGAAAAGAGCGAGGTGTAAGCCAATGAAGGCAGGGAGGCTAACTACGCAAAACGATCTTCCCGGGTTCAAAGTACAGTAGTGCAGATCACAGCACTTATTTAAGAAAAGGGCAACCTGTCCGCGAACAAAGTCTGCATGCCTACTCTCTCATAAGGCAGAGAGAAAGGCAATCACTGAAAACTATGGGAGACCACAAAATCAGAAAACACACACCACATCTGCACAAAAAAAAAACTACTTCTACAGGGTTACTGAACAGTGTTCACGACCTCCGAACCACAGCCTGGGTCGCAATTCCAGGTTCAAACGCGACCCATGCCTCGTCGTTCGTCTGCTTCTATTCGTAAATTGCAATTATCGGCTCTCCACATGGCGTGCAGCAAAAGCAGATGTGCAGGTTTTGTTCACAAGAAGGCCACTTAATTTTCAAGTGAATACAGTACTGAAGTTCCCTCGTTTAGATGAGTAGCGGTTTACAACTGGCTCGCTCATACACTGCTTAAAGTCGACGGTGGCAAGCAAGGATGCACGGCCCCCCTTCATGAACAAGTCGGAGGACAATGTCGCCTACCCGGACAGGATTGCACGCCCTGCGGTTGAGTGAGTAGCAGCGCTGCAGCTGTTTCAGGCTCTTCCCCCTTTCCTGCGAGACAAAAAGCACCACAATGCATACTTCTGCGGCCTGTTCCCGATGCCGCAAGAATCCGACCTTCTCAGTCATGAGCTTGTCCAGTGAAAGGTCGATGGCAACCCTGATTTTACAGCTCGACTCCTCCATCTTCGTGATCTTTGGCCTCTTCACGTCGGCGGTCTCTTTGGTGGCCTCCTTTTTACGCTTACGCTTCTCTTTCTGCTGTGCCCTGTCAAAATGCGTGTGTCAGTCAACCAAGCAGACCCTGCGACAACCCTCCCAATTTGTCAAGTGCTTGTTCACCAACTGCTTCAGCGGTAGCTAGGCACCTCCACACCGGAATGACCACCAGAGTGCTCAATTACGCCAACAAACCTGGATTTCACGCTCATGTTAAACTTTATGTGCGAAGAAAAGCCGAAGCTACAAGCACGAGAATATTGCCTCGAACCATAGCCTCCACTATACTGACAAAGCCTGGCAGATCGCCACGAGAAGCGGCCGCCGAAATTGAAACGGTAGAGCGGCAGACAACGGATGAGAGGAGCCACGTGACGGGCGCCCCGCTGTGGCGAGACGGTGAAACACACTTCTCCCGAGCGATGGAATGTCCACTCGTGCTCCTCGTGCTACCACTTCTTTTCTCGTCGGGTTTGAAAACATTTTTCGGGTCCTCGCCGCTGCAAAAGTTGTGCGCTGACGTCCAGGTTCCCCGAACAATGCTCTGTGCTACCAGATCCTCAATGATTAGCTGAGCAATTATCCAAAGAAAGGCAACCTCATTTCGAGCGCGAGCGATTGATCCGGCCACGTTATAGAGTTGACAGACTCCTACGCAAACGTACGGGACATCTACTTCCTCCACATTTCCCCGGGGTGTTCAGAGAGCGCGTGCAGTCTCGACAGATATGTTCTACCGCCCTTAGGCGCCTTTCGACGAACTAGCATTCTAGCATTCGCCGGCTTAGAAAAACGGGCCAGAGAACGAGGTTTACTTGCGTTCGGGTTTGTGCTTGAGCCACTCTATCCTTCGCATGAGCTTCTTCCTCTGGTTCTTTGAGATGTCGTCCCCCTTGTTTGCTAGATACGTCTGCAGTTTGTCCAGTGTCATGCTGTTAAAAACTTCTTTGGATGCCGGCTGGTTGCTGTCATCTCCCCCGTTTCCACCGGAACTAGCCTGCAGGTTCGTCGTCTGTTCAGCCATATGTGCGAGTAATTGTAAGTATACCCCGGATACCGTCACTTCGGGTTCAAAACAAGACCAACACAGATGAAAACCTCGAATGCATGAAGCAGCATGGGCGCGTGGACGGGACGCCTGGCTGGGCAGGCTTCGGATAGGTTCTGGCTAGCGCCGACTGCATTTTTCAGTGAGTAAATTCACGGCAGGAGCGATAAAAGTCAACGGTCGCAAGAGAACTTAACCTCGGTAAGCGAGCACAAAAGAAACAATCACAAGCACAAATTTTTAAAATATTTGTTCGTGACTGCCTATTTAATTAGACTATTACTCTCCAAGACAAAATGCTAAACTGTCATAAGTTTCGGTTTCGAACCCTGAAGCGATGCCTACATACCAGTGACAGGGCTGCACGCGGAAATAATATTATAATATTAATATCTTTATTTGGGCTTTGGCGACGCCTCCTGTATACTCTCTGACTTCCGGAGGCGCTTACCAAGGCCGTCGTATTTAGTAATTCCTCATCTTTTTCTAACGCGCGGCTTGCAATTTAATGGCGGACGCCTCCTGCGGCGATTGGTCGAAAGTGCATGCACTGCGTTTTCGCGTGGCGAGGTTGAAAGCAGGAGGAAAAGCGGAGACGTTTGCAGATGATCCACATATTTCTCACCTCCTTGCAGCTTGTATTGCAAATGCGGCCTATAAACTACGTGACCCCCATCGAGCACTTGGAATACTTTCTAACCTGCAGACGACGTGTCGCGCGCAAAGCCCCGGCGTTAGCCTCCTGAGAGCCCGTATTAGTCTCCAACGTCTCGATCATAGTCACGTGGTTTCTGGGTCGCGTTTCCTGGGGTGCTATGTTGCGCTTTTTGGACTCCCAGGAGACTTGGAAGAGGGAAGTGACGTCAACGACTAGAGCAAACGCAGATTGGATGTTGACAGAAGAAGACAAAGTCAACACCCAATCTGCGCTTGCTGCGTCGTTGACGTCACTTCCCTCTCCCTAGTCTCCTGGGAGTCCAAAAAGCGCAACATAGCACCCCAGTACAAGCTGCGAGGAGGTGACGATGGAGTTGATCCTCCGTTCGGCAGGCATGAGCCCCATGAGCCAGAGCCTGGCATGAGCATTTGGCTCTGGAGAACCGTAGCAGCGCAGAGAGACAATAGCTGTACCATGGAGGCCCGCGGTGCCGCGTCTAACATGAACATGATACTGCAATGAGTATATACATGCAAGATGACAACGAGATGAATTGCTGTTTTGGCGGAGGATGGCACTCCGATTTGCATATGTCCAGGTTTCGTTGAGGAGGGTCAGCATGCGAGGCATTGGGATCTGGCACGGCGTTCGATCGGTGCATGTAGCACAAAGGAGCCCCCGGAGCATGGCGGTGCGATTGCTCACTGGGGTCGAAGCATCAGGCTCCAAGAAGGTAGCCCAGTCAAAGTAGAAAGCTGCCGCCTCCGAGGTATCACTGTACTTCTTCGCACAGCTATAGCCAAAAAAACAGAACAGATAGCAAGACAAATAAACAATCACAATCATTTGTAAATTACTGCTTTGACTCCCCGCCGACATTCTAACGTCCTTCTCCACCCCTAGGTCCCCCACGTCCCAATCCATTTTCCGACTTCCCGATTCGAGTTTTTTGCCGACCGCAGGCTTTGGCTATGTGTGGGTTTATCAAACGCTGAAAACTTGTGCTGGAAGCTGAGCATCTACTGCATCCTTAACCTTTTATCGCTCCATTGGGCTCCCATCTTCCCCCCCCCCCCCCCCCCCCCCCCACACACACACACACACACACACACACACACACACACACACACACACACACCTCCTCCCAGTTTGTACAAAGCATCTCTGCCTTGGTCGCTCCACTTCCTAATAATGCACCTTTATTTCCCCGAATTTCCTTCCAAAGAATACTTGAACGAAGTCTCTGACAGGGGGTGGCAGTTCTTCCAAGTGATAGATTGGCCATCAGAAAACTGTTAATGATTCCCAGCAATACGGTAGTAGCTGCACCCTAGGTACTCTGCAGAATGCTGGGTTGCAGCTACCAGTGATCAACCTTTATTAAAGCTCGTTCACACAGTTGCGTTTGACTGCATTGAGACCGTTTGCATCGAACTGTTGCTATAGCGACCTTTGCAATGAGCCAATGGGGAGACGCCGTGCTGCACAATACAACACAGCACAACGCAGTTGATGCAACTGTGTGAACGAGCCTTTAGTATACTTGCTGGCAGCCACTGCTTGCCTCATCAACATTTAGTTGCACCAGTGGCCATTGATGCATCGTTGGCAACTCGCAGGTGACTGCAGGTATAGCAGTGGCACCCAGTTTTGTAATTGACACAAGAACAAGGCCCCTCAAATATTTTAGAGCATGTCAGGACGTAGCTGTCGGTTGCACGCCTTCCAAATCTAGTAGTTGACAATCCTTATTCACTTTGTCTGTGATTACCTACACTCCGTTAAACCTGAAGCTGACAGTGCAGTGGGAGCTATGCCGCCTCCCTTTCGCCACTTGACCCCGCTCGCTCTGCGCGTGGGGTGGAAGGGTGCACATGGCAAAAGATAGGCGTGCGACTGATCCAGCAAGTGCATAGTTAATTCGCTGCACTGTCAGCTTAGGGGTGAATGGAATATGGATGTGACAGTAGCACAAGGGATTCATGTTTTGCACTTGCAAGTAATGGCAACATGTAAAGCCTCGTAGTGGACAGTGCCCCCTCAGGTTCCGTGCCAAGATGATCCACCTTTCTAATCCACTCGCTACCAACCTTTATTTAGGTGTGCCAATGGCCCACGGATGTGTGCTTGGTCACGCACAGGCTAAGGAAATAGCAATGACACCGGCTGATGCGCCACTTGACATGAGATCGGTGATATGAGGCATTTCAAAGATAAAACGCTTCAACTGGCGAAACCGCTCAAGGAGGACAGTAGTTGGAGTCTTCTTAACGTGCGAGCATTTATTGCCCCGGCGCACACAGCCGTCTTTGGTTTGGACTGGTAAGTGGTTTTGCAAGGCCGCAGTACAGTTCCCGCCGTGCTCTTTTGCTTCGTTTGTTCACTCGCTACGTACATTTTCACTCTTACATAAGAGGGAAAGAGTCTTCTCGCACACTCCCAATGACGTGCCGCTGTTGACGCGTACTGCTTTTAAAAAGGCACCAGGGCATAGGCACATGGTTTCGTTTCCTCAACATGCACAACCTATGCGACGCCGCCGTTTGCACAAAACCGCCGACGCCCGGGAGGAAAGTTTGGCTTTTTGAAGACAACAGTATGCAGACCGTAGGCAGCGATCCGAGGGAAGCTGCGGTGGCTGCATTTGAAACCGCCGACACCAGGGAGAACAGACTTATTCTTCGAACACAATAGTAGGCAGACCGCTGCAAAGCTGGAGTTCCCATCCTTCGCCTGAGAAACCCCCGCGATAAATGTTTACGCATTTCGTCAAGTATCAGAGTAGCGACGGCAGGGATGTCGGCATCATTTTATTTTCCGAAATAGACAGCACTGCAAACTTGAGAGGAAAGGTACCACCTTCCGGGTGGCCAATGCACAGAGTCCATGGGGAGGAAGCTCAAATAAATTAGTTCTCTACTCTACACGACGGGATCCCACCGGGGATGCTTGAAACCCGCGTCTGGTCTAGCTCGACGTCCCTGGAAGACGGTCTTCACCTCGTGGCCAGGTAAAGGCGGTCAGGAGAGGTCGTCTTGTAGGCCAGAGATGGCGAGTGGATGTTGGCGCGTGCGGCAAACTTGTGGCCGCCGATGTCCACGGTGAACTCGTTCTTGAGGATGAAGTCGTTGGTGACTGTCTGGGGCACGCCCTTCTCGTCCCTGTTCTCCACAAAGCCCAGGCAGACCTGCACAGGGAGCAGTGGCCACGCTCGGTTGCAGGCGGGAATCGCTCGACACCTCCGTGGCATTTGGTTCGTTATGGTGTATTCGCGTGACACAAATTTTCACCAAGAAGAGGATTAAACGTCATGAAGTTTGGGGTGACGTGCGCCGCGTCACGGACGTTCGCTAATTCTCCAAATATGCGGAGAACCCGTGCCCGGTTTCCAAGATATCTGTCATCTCGTTGGAGTGACCGGTCCTCCCTTCGGGAAAGGATTACAGTCGACGACATGGAGCGGGAAAGTGCTTTTGTTTCCGATTTCTTTTTCCTTGCCTTTTTTTTTTTGATGAGTCCCCAAAGGTTGTTAGCAGGGTCATGCAAAGAAAGACTCAGCCGACTAAACAACAATCGACTCCGTTGTGCTTGCTCGGATTTTCTGAACCACCTACTCCTTCTCACAGCGTATCCTCCTCGCCAACTCTATGACATATTCGCTTTTTTCAAAGATGAAGATATGTAGAGCAAATAGGCCATTAAAGACTTAGTAGGCCTGGCTCAGACATTTGCGTTTGGGTGTGACCGACTGTTCACGATGGCATAACATGGTGGCGCCATATACCGTGCAACCCTGACCCACTTCTGGTCTGCATACGTTTCCTGAACTAGCAACAGGCTTTGCAGTATGTGTAAGATCTCATCTATGAACTATAAGTGAGAAATGGTTGCTTATCACGTTGTCGTAATTATTGAAAGCCAACGGTGAAAGAATGATCTGTAAAAATTAGGAAGCTCATCATGGGCGTACCAACCGGGGGGGCAAGGGGGGCACCTGCCCCCCCAGTTCTCAGAGTGGGGGGGCAAGGCATGCGTTTTGCCCCCCCTGAAACGGCCGCCACTGGGCAGAGCAGACACAGGCCGGCGGCGCCCAAGAAATACCAAGGGCACTGCCACCCGACCCGCGCGGGCATATTTTTAACGCGCAGGCGATACAAACCCTAGCAACGGTGCTCACGCACGCCGGATTGGCTGGTTCGTAAAGCCTTGCTCCACGAACAAGGCTACACGGTAACCTTACGGAATCCATCCGCGAGACATGGGCCGGACAGGCCGTCCAGACCAGGACGTAGGCCCTTACACAAAATAAAGTTTTGCTTGCTTGCTTGGAGATAGGCGCTGCCGCCGTCAACATAGGCAGCGGATGCAATGCGAGTTTCCGAAGAGGTAGCGTAACTTAGTGGTGAGATGTCTGCCTCATACGTGTCAGACCCGGGTTCTATTTATGGTGTGGGCCGGCTTACTTCTTTTTATTTTTTTTCTCGAACATTTTGTTTTGTCGAGGCATTTGGCGATATTTACATTTCTTTTTTACCATTAACACTAAAAAAACGAATGTTGTTGACGAAACATCGCTAAACTAAATCGTATCGACTCTATTTACGGAAGTGCATGGGGGGCAGCGGGGCTTGGGTTGCCGACCGGACGCCGCAAAGCGGCGTGTACGGGGGGTGGGGGGGCTAGGTGGGTTAATAGATTTGTAATTAGCAGCCGCACACCGTCACCGCGAAGCGGCGTGAACGCAGGCGTGGGGGTGGGTTAACGCGCTTCGAGTGATACACGAGCAGCCCATCCGGCGTGAGCGTCGTTGTTAGGGGTTCTATCGCCTGCACCGTAAAAGGAGCAGTGTGTGCACCTCCTGTAGTGGGCAAGAATTCCTACATTGGAGAGAAGCGGGGACAAGCCCTTTCTTCAAATGCGTCAAGTCTCCTTGAGCTTCGGAATACAAAGAAACGCCACTATTCGGAGCTAATCCCACAGTTACTCGACCTCTCTTGCGTCGTGTCTGTTCGCTCCCCGCGCCTCGTTGCAGTGTTGTTGCAGTGGGGGCTCGTTAAAATTTTGGGTTTTTTTGGACTATCTAAATCACTTTCTTCCTTCCCATCCCCCCCTTTTCTACTCCGCATGCTTCCCCCTCTGCAAATATCAGCTGACCTTCCGACCTCTGTTCTCTGTTGATAGGCAAAACAACCACTAAAATTAGAAAGTAATTTGTAATTTGAGTGGAAGTCACTCGGAAAAGTAGTTAAAGTAAACTACTGATTACTAGAATAGAAATGTAATTAAAAGTTACTAAACTACCCAGAAAAGTAGTTAAACTACAGTAACTTGAGTAAAGTAGTTGAACTACGTACAAGTCTGGCCTGGCAAGCGCTCTGCGTAACTGTTTTCACTGATCTGCCTAGCCCCGCACACCATCACATGGGCCAAGAAAGGTGTAGTTTTACTGCAGAGGAGAAATCAGCAGGGTCCAAGATGGTGACAATGGAGGATGGGGGACTGTTCCAGTGGCTGATGGCTTGAGAAAGGAATGACCAATTGAAAGCGTTCGTAGAGCCAGAAGTGTGTTTGATGGTGCAGACGTTGTTGAGGCGAGAAGATGTTCGGTCGAGGGGTAATAACAAAGTGGTTTTGAGGTCGGGAATGTGGTAGTAGATTTTGTGAATAAGGCACAGCTGAGAGACTTTCCTGCGAAGCTGCAAAGAGGACATGGTTAGTTCAGTTTTTAGCGCCGAGACACTGAAAGAAAAGTCATAAGTGGATGAAATGAAGCGAGCAGCTCTGTTCTGAACTGCCTCTACAGCGTATTGATGAGGTACAGTCGATGGCTATTCCAGATGGTTGAAGCATATTCTATTTTTGTTCTGACGTACGTGTTAAAGGTTAGCTTACGGACAAAGGGTGGAGCGATTTTTTAAGTTACGTTTGCTTAGTCCAAGAGTTCCAGATGAATCGGCGGTAATGACTTCAATGTGGTTATTCCAGGGAAGGTCAGATGTTAGTCTTACACCAAGGTATTTATACACAGTAGCGGTCTCAATCAGATCGGAGTCCAAGAAGTAATTAAATGACAGAGTGGTTGTTTTCTTGGGGAAGTGGATTAGTTTGCGTTTATACTTGTTTGGTGACATAATCCACTCTTTGCACCAATTGTTAATTTTATCTAGATCTTCCTGAAGCTGGTTATTATTTTGCACACAAGTTACTTTGTTATGGATGACGCAGTCGTCGGCGAAAAAGCGTTTTTTTGAAGAAATCCCAATGGGAATGTCATTAATAAATATTAAAAAGAGTAAGGGCCCGAGTACGAACCCCAGGGGAACACCAGGAGATACATTTATTAAGGAAGATTCATGATCATCATGGACGTGACCTGTACACGGGAAAAAAGAAAGTCACGAATCCATGCAAACGGTTATTGGTCGAGGCAAAAAGATGATAGCTTAGAAAGAAGGCGTTGATGAAAGACACGGCCGAACGCTTTTGAAAAAAAAAAAAATTGCGTCAGTTTGGACTTGACATTCAAGGTTAGTGTGCAAGTCATGGATGAAGTCGCAGAGTTGCGTTTCGCAGGAAAGTACCTTTTGAAAACCGTGCTGCTGTTTAAAGAAAAGAAATGGGATGATAGGTGCCTCATGATATTGGAGTAGAGGATATGCTCAAGTAGTTTGCAAGAAATTGAAGTCAATGAATTAGGGCGATAATTAGATGCGGAAGAGCGGCTGCCCTGCTTAAAGACTGGGAATTACCCTTCCCACCTTTTGGTCAGATGGAAGCCAGCTTTGAGATGAGGGCTGAATGAAGATGAGTTTCAAATACTCACTAGAAATAACACGGGTGTTTCTTTTAAATTTTAGGGTTGATGTTATCGGTTCCAGCGGACGAAGTAAGTTTTAGTTTATCAATCAATGTTTTAATACCAGCGGAGTTAACGTTAATAGGATGCATGCGCTCGTAAAGCTCTTCAGGGAGAGTGGGGACGAAGACCAAGCACTCGTTAGTAAACACTGATGAAAAGTATTCGTTAAACACAGAACTATCATGCTCGACGTTGCACATCCGACATTCCTAACTCTCCCCATTTTCCTAAACGTCCGTGTGTGTCCTAACACCAGAAACCGGAATTTTAAAGGTTAAAAACGGCACGTTGCGAATATGGAACGCGCACTTTCATGCAAAGCTGACGTCAAGTGACTCAAATCGAAAAACATGCATATTTACAGTATTGTTATCTCTTCTGGTGAAGGCTAAACAACCGTTGCATCCGTTTTCGCGCACGAGACGGTGACTCCCAGAGAAAGTAAGAACGCAGTGATTGTCTTTATTTTAACAATGTAAACACACTTGCAGGCGTGCGCTGATGAAGCCTCAAAATCAAAACTCTCGTAGTGTGATTCGTGACTGCTCCGGCTACTACCCAACCTCGTTGTCACGCCACTTTCTGCAAGCAAACACTAAAATTGCCAGTAAACACACAAAAGCGACATCGATACAATTATCTTATAGAATATCACCTTATTTAATCATAACTGTTTCAATAGGCACTACAAGTTGTATTTATTTTAAGAAGAAGAAGCAAAATTTTTTTCGTGAGAAAAAACAAAATATCAATGTTAAGTCTGGTAACGTTGTAATTTTGCCGAATCATTGCCACATCTTTAGAAAACTTCGACAAAAGTTGAGCCGAATTTTCGATTAAGGGGGGGGGGGGGGAAGAGGGTCGGGTTTGCCCCCCCCCACTCAAAAACAAGTTGGTACGCCACTGAAGCTCATGTAGACTGGAAGTGGGCTGGGCTACCTGACAAACTGTGCCATTGCATTATGTTGTCGTAAGCACTGCAGTCATAATGAAGTCGGTCACAACCTCATGCAAATGTATGAACCAGCCCTTATGTGCATTGTTGTCTGCTCAAATATGTAGGACCAATCTTTTTTTTTTTTTTTTAAGAAGCTTGTATTTTGGTTACAAAGGACTTTTAAACAGATTAAGAAATATTGTATGGCAAATTGCTGGAAAATCGTGTTGCATTACGTGAAATGTTTTAGCACCACGTGACCTGATGTCCATGTGACGTCAATTTCCCCGCTAAATTTAGCGGGGAAACTGAATTAGTGTGTAGTTCTGTGACATCCCATAATGCTACACAGCATGCGTTTAGTTATTGGCTGTCCCAGATCTATACACCAATTCAACTGCCCCGCTAAATTTAGCAAAAAAACTGAATTGGTGTGTTGGTCTGCGATGTTGCATAATGCAACACTGCACGTGTTGCGTTATGGGACATGACAGGCCACGGCTTCATGAAATCTGGCTTCACGAAATGCGGCTTCACGAAATCCGGAGCAACTAGCCAAAGAATGTTTCATGTTAAAAACGACCCTAACCAATTTGAGAATTTGCAGACTTGAGAAGCTTAATCCGAGTAAAATATGAGTTTGCTGCATGGTTTGTTTTCTGAGAGAAGAGATGAGTTCCTCTAAAATTGTGCATCTGATATGTATTTTAATAGGATTGTCGGGTCAAAACCGAAAGTACTTAAAAGTTTTTGCGCTGTTACGTCAAAGGAGCCTTCATATAGACAAACATAATTTTTATTTTGATATATGATGTCCATATATTAATTAAACCTGTCGTGAGCACGTGTTTGTAACTGCACCCTGAATCTCGCCAGTGCCAATGGCTGACATCCGTAGTGTCTGCGTGACGTGGCATAAAGCAAAGGATTTTTGGGATAACAAGCGCTGGTCGATGGATGTCTTGTATTTTGTTTCAAATTATATAGTCTCCTAGGCTGTACCATACTGAAATATGTTTCTGTTATTGCACTTACCAAGCGCGTGCAAAAAAGTTGCACCTTTCAGCAGGATATTAGTCGAACACAGCAGTTAGCTTTGAGCAAACATATGACTTTTCGCACATACACAACTGCGACGGCCACCGATTGGGCAAAGAGAAGCATGCAGACTTGGCCTCTGAAGTGGCGTCTGGGTCCACATATTGCCGGACCCACTGGATCGGTGATACGGCTGCGGGTCGTGCCCACGGAGGCGACGCCCACGGGTAAGGCAAACGGCGAATCGTTCAAAATGTATGCAACATTTCTAGATCGTGACTTGACTAGGACGAGTAGTGAATCGTAACCACGCTCCATTTTCACAGACGGGTCAAACAGAATCAGGCTGCACGCGTGCTAAATATAAGTTTTGGCATCGTTTCAAGATGTTAGCTTTTGGTTTCAGTTATTTCGCTGCATAATTGAATCGACTGATACAAATAGGGCGAGGGGTGGGAGGACGTCGTTAAAGATTGTTGGCGTCGCATCACCCTTGCTTACGAGTTTTCTATTCGCTTAGAGCTCAGCTCGTAGCTCTCTTCTGTGAAATGATTGCTGCATAAGTGTGATCTCGATCTTGACGGGAACCCAATGCTCCCTACGCACGGCGACGATCCATTTTGGTCGTCGCTGCGCCTCTTGCGGATCACAGGTGCTGCGCAGTGGTTGTGGCACCCAACCGCACAGCACAAATCCCACCCATCCACGACACAAGTCAAGCACAACAGAAATGAAGCACGCTGGTGCATTCACTCGCAGGCAAACGACGAGACGAAAATTATTGCTTTGCATTAGTATGTGACGTCAGAGCTTCAATGTTGCCAACAAGAGCACTGTTTACGCTAGGATGCGATTGGAGCAGTTTAAAATTCAATTATTCATGCAGAGGGGCATATAAAATTCGGATATTGCATGGACGATGCATTTCGAGGCAATAACAATGATATTCAATCATTTTCTAGAACACAAAATTTGACCAGACAATCCCTCTAAGTTGTAGTTGGCTCTAGTGGAGAGCAACAGGCCTTGGCCTCGAAATACCGATATTCCAGTGCAACAGCGGTATTCACACGGGGTAAAAATCTCCAAGATTAGTCCTCGAAGTGTGCATCATGTCTCGCTTTTGAGATGCGGTGTGGTGAAATCACCTCTGCAGCGGAGGGATCGCTTGTGCGAGAGAAGCAATTCCTGTTCGGCGGCTGATCAGGTTGCTTCTAAGAATATTTTGTCGTCGAAGGCTTTAGTGACAAGTGCAGAAACCATTAAATTAGACTGCTAGTGCTGATATACCTCTTATTGGCATCTCTTCCGTGTGAATGACGAAGCCGAGAAGGGGATTCCACTTTCTGATGACGTCACGCAAACCTCCGTGGATTCCTTCCCCATGTAACAAGGTGTTAACCAAAATTACATTTTCAGATTCTCGGACTATTTTATCGAAATTCCCTAAAAGGACAGGATGTGTCTGAAGTGCAGATCTTATGTGAAAACACTGGTATAGTTGATGCCTTCCCCAGTTCTAGCTTCAAGATGGTTTCGCCCGAGCAGCAGAAACGAACTCAACTGTCATACTGCAGGCAGTCTGTAGAAACAGGTCATTTAGGGGCGAGCGGGAAAGCTTGAAAGATGAGTTCTCGTGTCATGAAGTCATTTGGCAAAGGTGCAGTATGCAGGAACAGTCCATTAAAGGACAGAACGATCGGCACGCTGGCCGAGTTGCCTGCAACGTGTGACACAACACACACGTTTTTTGCTGTTGCTCAGAGAAAGAAGAGCTCAATTTTCCTGATTGATGCTGATTAAAGCCAAAATTCCCTGGCAATTCCCGGACCTTACTAGACCACCGGCTTCCCTGACGATTCCTCTTTTTCCAAATAAATGACACCCTGATGTTAACACTGCTTCAAGGGAAGACTGGTGTTGAAGATTTTTCTCTCATTTCTGATGCAATGTATAGTAAACCTTTCACATCTGCTACGAGATTTTATGCTAAGCAAAAGCATTAGCTCATTATTTCCCTATCAATTCTAGTTTTCAAGAAAACCTCAACTTTATCACAAATGTTTCTGTCCAAGCTTTATACAATGCACCATCAAAAAATGTGGCACAAAGTATGTTCTACAAACAAAAGAGAGTGCAAAAAAACTATCGCTATGATTTTAGCATCATTTTCAAAAATGATATTGCAAGCTAAATTTTTTTTGCTGATAATTAGAAACGACTCATTAAAGTCTTTAGCAATTAGAACATTTTGTAGTTAATGTTTTCCAGTAATAGTAGTCTTGTTGAACTCTCCGATTTATAAGACATTAAACCCCTAAAAAAGTGTTCAAGTCCAAGTTCTAGATCCAAAGATGCCGTGGGCAAAACTTTGTGTAGTGATGAGAAAACAAACTCTGAAAAAACAGAAAGAAAGCTCTTTAAAACATGTTTGCGCACAGCCTGGATAAGAAACTCGGAGTACGTGTAACCGTATAAATGTGCACTTCCTGAGTGTCGAACTTGCAATATATGCTGTTTGTGGCTTGCAGATCAAGAAAAAAAAAATCTTTTAAAAAATAACTTTGACCAGAAACTAGGAAACAGGCTCAGCCACGAGTCAACACCGCGAACAAAAGGAGCGTCGGGGCAATGACCTGGCCACCGAGGGTGAACCCGTAGCAGGTGGAGGAAGTGAAGCCGACGCAGCGGTCCTCCCACAGGATCGGCTCCCTGCCCCAGGGCCAGGGGTCGCAGTCCGGGTCGTGGTCCTGCAGCAGCAGCTGCACGTAGCGGCGACGCACCCCCTGCTCCTTCTGCCGCAACAGGGCGTCCCGGCCCACAAAGTCCTTCTGCAGAGAAAACGGCGGTCCCGCAGGGTTCTACCACTTGTTACTTCATAAAGCTGCACTCACAGCCGTCACATTCGCGACCAACTACCGTAAAATACCGAGCAAGCGCCCACTCAAAATTTGAAGATAATCACAAAAACTTAGGGGATGGGCGCATGTGAGGTCATCAATTCACATATATATGTACTTTGCATATTTTTTCAGGTGTTTCAAATTTCGAGGGTGGGCGCTTAGTGTGGAATGGGCAGATGCACGGTATTCTACGGTATGAAGCCTGAAGCATGTCTCCGACTAGTGTGTCATGCTATTGTCACTGCTATTGCCATTGCCATTGCTATGCTATTGCTATTGCCATTGCTATTGCTGCCATGACCCCTCACGGGGTCATGGCAGCGGAGGAAGACGTGGCAGACACCCGGTTTGCTGCAGGTCGCTCTGCAGTCAAACGGTCCACGGAAACCGAAGCAGAAGCTAGTCGGGACGCTGCGGCGATGATGACGGCTCTAGCGTCCGCTCGGCTTTTTTGTCGGCATTTCTATGACCAACCGGCAGAATTGCGACATCTGACGGCACGACATGCCGGCTCGTGTGACGCAATTCCTTGTCACTCCAGGCCATTTTTATTGCGTGGGCAGGAGAGGTAGGTAAGCATTCCAGCCGATTACGTGAGCCTGAAACATTTGCAACAAACAGCCAAGTACAGTAATCCCTCGGTATTGATGAACTCGATGGGACGGCAAAAAAATTAGACATAAGCAGTAATTGGATAAAAGCGATAGAGCCAAAAAACCAGTGCCAGCAGCCTAGAAGGTGGACGAGAACACTACAGTACACTCTGACCGCATATTTAAGGGGGGAAACTACCCCAAACAATTCCTGCAAAAAAAAGTTGATTTTGAAAAATGCCATATATATTTACATCCACCAACATCTAGAGAGCATTCTCAGAAAGTTTCATTAGTTTACACTGCATAGTTAATTTTTTATAAATTATTTTCGACCCACCGATGCTAAAGAAAAGGTAGAGGTTGAAGCACTTTGAACGCATTTTTCTATGTTCCACTCTTTGGAATAAATTTCACTTTGGGAAAACTGTCGTTTTCCTATTACACAATGGAGAATTATTCTTAGATGGTTTTCTGGGGTATAATTATGTGAGGAACACGCCTGGCTAGTTAGTTTTCTTACACTAACATTCTTTTATGCTAAAACCCTACATTTGTAAAAAAGCGCACACATGAAAAGACACTTTTAATTTTCTTATGGAGTTATACTTACGAAACACAATGCAATATAGCAAAATAACAAGCTGGGTATGTGCTATGGGTATTCCTACGATTATATTACACGTAAAAATCACACATTTTTATTTTATATTAAAACAATAGTTTTTATAAGGAAACACTGACTTCCACATCGTAACAAGTTTCAGGATTGACATAGAACAATGAAATTTGGCAAGGATGGTTTTGCTGCTCATATAAACTTCCAATGCAAATTTGATTGAAATCAACAAACCTTGGTTATAAACATCTCGCGGCAGCTTCACCGAGTAAATAATAATAATTTCATCTGGGCATCAGTTCTTCTCGAGCTGCTCCAAGCATCGCTAGAACACAGTCACAATCGCTGCATTCCACTTTGTTTCAAAGCAGCCGTAGGATGTTTCACGTCTCTGCAGCCGTCGGCGTTTCCCGAGGTGCCTCTCCGACGTCGCTTTGTGTTTACCCTGGCAGCACGCAAGGTCTACGATAGCAGCATCCGTGGCAAGAGCAACAACCGCATCGACAAGCGCGAACGAATCAGTTATTTTCAGTGGCTTTTCCAACATGTTTTCACACACTCCTCTAGAGATTGTTGTAGCCCTAGGAGTCTTGCGCCGGCTCGGCAGCATGCTCGCGAGAAAAAATCCAACGTTCGCAAAGCAGCTGGCGACCTTTCATCTTCGAGTTGCGGGTGCGCTTTCTCTATGCATAAGGAACTTCTCAAACCCGTTTTATACCTCGCTTGTTCTGCAAAATGGTGGACAGTGTCAAACAGCCGATGTCGGAATGTTGAATTCTTTGGCGCTTTCGGACTTGGGCTGGCCACTTTTCTCAACCTCGCTGATCTAAGCAACTTTTGGTAAACACTCCCAATCTGCCATACGACGCACGTGCACGTGTAGTATGCCGCAGGCATGTGCGTCGGGGGCTCCCAAACAGATGATCTCCTGCGAACTCCATCGCTCCCTTGACATGACTCCGACAGGAGTCGGGCAGCGTCGGCCGCGGGCGCCGTGAGTAGCGTCGGAACTCCCTGCCCGCGTCCCCGCGACGGCACATCTGCATCGGAAGCAGAGCTCTGCGTGCCCTGCCCTCTGTCACCCGTTTACTCTGTTTTCTTGTTTGCCTTGGTGGAAAAGGGGGAGAGAACGCAAGGGTCTCCGTGCATCCCCGCGTAGGCTTGCATACTTTCGGCACCGCGACCTTCGTAATAAGAGTGGTTGGCCGTGGGTAGACTTTGAATAATCCGGTTAAAAATGCGTGCATTTCGGTCGGGACCACGTTAAACTTCGATAAAAGCAATAATTAAAAAAAAACGATTTCGCTATAACAAAGTATTACTAATAAAAACCCAATGTACAGTCAAACCAGTTTATAATGAACAGCAGAAAACGCTACGATCAGTTCGATATAGCAAGTAGTTCGATATAGCAAAAACCATTTACAACGAACTTCCCCGATGCGTTCGTTGTAAGGCGAAAGTTTCTCTTTCTTTTTTATCTCTTTGCTTCCACCTTGTAACAAAACGCTAATTTTTTAATTTTTTTTTTCGTGCATGCAGATTTTTTTTTTTTGTTTAGCTTATTTCCTTTCCTGAATCGCTGTTGCGTGTGTGCAGTGTTTTTTTAGCTTTCTTCCCTTCTGAATCGCTTCTATTCGCTCAATTTTGTTCCCGGCTTGAGTTTTCGAAATTTTCCTTCTTTCCTACCTTTTTTTTTATAGAGGGGGGGGACAGGCTAGAAAACGATTGTTTGCGCGCATTTAAAAATCTTCCAGGGGGAAAAAAGTTTGATATAGCCAATATGTCATTCGTCATAAAAGTACTTTTTTCCATGCAGTTTTATTTAAATTTTCCGTGAGTTCGATATCGACAATAATTCGCTGTACGTGGGTTCGTTCTAAACGGGTTTCACTGTAGCTCGAAATCTTTTGCATATTCTGTCTCTCCTAGGGGAGCTTACTCCTAGGATTAGGAGTTAACAGAATGTCCTCGCGTGTGATTCTGCACGGACGGGTATCACAATTCGGAGTGCCGAAGCATATGTGTGAAATACTGTCATATGCCTATTAGCAGCATTGCCATGGTCTCAATCTGTGATTGGTCAAGCACTCACTGTGATGCCTTTATTTGGATTCAATTTTCTTGTATTGATGGAAATCGGCACATTGTGAGAGTTTGAACTGTGACGATGTTGGTTTAAGAAAGCGACGACTCCGAGCTTCTATCATTATTTTTACGCATACCATCGAATTTATACTTCGCAACTGATGATAAGTAACAAACAATAGACGACTTATGAAGTCACGGTGAGGCATATTCTGGTTGTGATGTCACGAGCAGGAAACATAAGAGGGCACCACCGAAACATCTCGGCACTAATAGGCTACATTCAAGGGCTTTGGAGTGCCTAGAGGGCCAGGAATACTGGCTACAGACTTAGTTAGAGACAGAGCTAGGCGCCTTTCACACATATCCTACAACTATTTTACTAACAGCAAAGCTTCTAAAGCATTACGTTCCAAAGCACATCTTTCAACAATGCAACCGCTGCCCTTGTTAGTAGCTGCACACCCTGAATGGTATTTTGCAAGTTTTTAGCAAGCTGGCCTATAGTTCGTTGCAAGTTAAAAAAAAGTGAAAGCCGTTTACAACTCCCTGTAACGCCGAATTAGAGCGCAGCTCTTGAGGAGGAGGAGGGAAGGGTACTGGGGGGGGGGGGGTCAAGTGACCTTGGGTGGGGGTCACGTGACCTAGGGGGGTCACGTGACGATGACGATGACGTCATCAGTAACGATGACGATGCGGATACCGATGACGTCATCAGTGACGTCACTGATGACGTCATCAGTGATGATGACAATGACGATGCCGGTGACGTCATCAGTGATGATGACGATGACGATGCGGATGCCGGTGACGTCATCAGTGACGTCACTGATGACGTCATTAGCGATGATGACGATGACGATGCGGATGGTGATGATGACGATGACGATGCGGATGCCGGTGACGTCATCAGTGACGTCACTGATGACATCATCAGTGATGATGACAATGACGATGCGGATGCCGGTGACGTCATCAGTGATGATGACGATGCGGATGCCGGTGACGTCATCAGTGACGTCACTGATGACGTCATTTGTGATGATGACGCTGACGATGCGGATGCCGGTGACGTCATCAGTGATGTCACTGATGACGTCATCAGCGATGATGACGATGACGATGTGGATGGTGATGATGACGATGACGATGCGGATGCCGGTGACGTCATCAGTGATGATGACGATGACGATGCGGATGCCGGTGACGTCATCAGTGACGTCACTGATGACGTCATCAGTGATGATGACGACGATGCGGATGCCGGTGACGTCATCAGTGACGTCACTGATGACGTCATCAGCGATGATGACGATGCAGATGGTGATGATGACGATGCGGATGCCGGTGACGTCATCAGTGATGATGACGATGACGATGCGGATGCCAGTGACGTCACTGATGACGTCATCATTGATGATGACGCTGACGATGTGGATGCCGGTGACGTCATCAGTGACGTCACTGATGACGTCATCGGGGGTCACGTGACTTGGGGAGCCACGTGACTTTGGGTGTCGCGTGACCTTGGGGGTCACGTGACCCTAAGGGAGAGGTCACGTGACCTTGGGGAGTCACATGACCTTGGGGTCACGTGACCTTGGGATGACCTTGGGGGTCAAGTGACCTTGGGATGACCTTGGTTACGCCGACGGCGACGCCGCTCAAGCCGGGAACGGGCCCCTAAGAGCTGCGCTCTAAAAAGCAGGACAAGCTCCTTCCACTTTACCAGAGCAAATGCTGAAGAGGAGGCGAGTCTACTCAGCTTTTCTCCAACATTCGCTGCGCTCAAGTGGAAAGAGCTCATTCTGCTTTCCTTACCCTGCAGTAGACTATAGGCCAGTTTGCATCCTCCAATGCCGGGTAGCACTCACATCAAACTTGACCCTGAAGGCCCGTCCGCACTCGAAGGGTGTGGTGGTGCAGTCCAGGTCCTTGCCCCAGAAGGCAAAGAACTTCTCGATGCGCAGCGTCTTCATGGCGAAGTAGCCCGCATGCTGGATCTCGTACTTGAGCCCCACTTGCAGGATGCGGTCGTACACGTGCAGGGCATACTGCGAGGACATGGCGAGACCACCTTTGGCGTTTGTGCTTGCTAAAGGCTGCTTCCTACATTCGCATCCGAGTGTGATTGAGTGCACTGTGCTTGCTTTTAACTGCTTACGACGAGATAATGCTAGCAGACTGGCGCCATCCGTTGGGTAATCCTAGAACCCTCCTGATCTGCCTATAACTAGATTGAAGGTTTCGCGGTAGTTGCGAGATTAAATCTAGGCCCCATCTATGAGAAATAGTCCCTTATAACATTGTCAGAATTATTTACTGTGCAGGGTGAAAGGATGACTCGTAAAAAGTCAATGTTCCGGGGCTACCCGACAAACGGTGGAGGTGTGTTCTCTCGTCGACCACACTTAAAGGCAAATATGTAAACCGGCCTTAACATCACTGCACGAATGTGAATGACTCTCTGTGAGCTGGACAATCTTTTAAGAACCAAATTCTACGGAATTTTGCTAAATTTATGTAGACCTGTAATGTTTTGTGTCCCTTCCCCCTTTCAGTTTTCTCACGAGTGTGTGTGCTATTTTTGTTCTTTCTTGTTGGATTGTATAATTTACTGTGTTGCCCCCCCCCCCCCTTCCCCCCCTCATGAAATGCCCTTGAAAGAGGCCTCTGAAGGATTGGTAAGTCGGCCGTGTAGACATTTATGACAAAGAACTGCAGAGCACCCACCCATGGCTCGACGACATAGGTGAAGCCATAGCTCTGCAATTATAGTGACTCCACCAACCGTACAAACAATGCGACTTTTAGAAAGCTGCGACTTATATAACAGCTTTTTTGTGAAAACGGCCATTCATGGGGGGAGCAACTCACACAGCACTCTGACTTATAGACTGGAAAATATGATAGGGAAGTACTCTTCATGCGAGGACATGCAAAAAAAAATATGAGAGAAAGAGAGAGAGTCCAGTGCTCTCTCCACACAAGAAAATGCGTGTCACGCACCTCGTTGGGGATGTAGAGCACCCATCCCCTGTCGCCCGTGTGGGTCATGTGGCAGACCTTGATGCCACTGGCCAGGCCAATGTCCAGCTCCTGAAGGAGAACAGCCCGCTCAGTTGCGCACCTCCGAGATTGCTCTCGAGCTGCATCCCGTTGGAACTGTCTATGGCAGTGCTACAAAGTCCCGAGCTACGCTAGGGCCACGTGACGGAGCGAGGAAGTTATTCACCGCCGCCGTCGGAACATTCTCGGGTTGCTTGATGCCTCCTTTCTTTCTAGAGTCCGGCCGACCTGGCTTCGCTCCCGCCTCTTCCTAAGCTTGACAACTGGCCCTACCCACAGCCGCAAAATAACCTTCGCTTTAGAGTATCAACACTGCACTACCCGATTGTCTCGTGGGTGCCACCATTTTGTTGGCTGGTGGAGAAGCGGGAGCACTTGGCGATAGGTGCGATTCGAAAATGCCACTTCCTCGGCTTTAGACACGGTGCTAGGAAGCTCGGAGATGTCCATTTACTCTTTCACGGACAGTTGTAACATTTCTGGAGCTTATCCTGTCTTTTAGATGAAGCTTCGAATAAATGGAAACCATAACTTTAAGCAAGCAGAATGGCTGAAATGTCGTTACTCCGGATGGCAAGAACGTAGAGTAACTAAGCACCGGCCGGATTCATTCAGCGTCGTTTGGCCGACGAACCTAAAAAATAGTGCTTCTAAAATATTGTGTACTACTTACATTTTCTTCAGTGAACAACTACACTTCGAGGCGCTGTCGACGAGCGTATTAAACAAAAAAACAATTAGAACGGGGGTTGAACTAGTATAGTCGTGATCGAAAAAGGCCGACCTACAAAAGCGAGCAAGGCTTTCAAGCCTACAAAGTGAACCGAGACGCAACGACGCGTCGACAGTTTCTCCTAGTACACCGGCACAAAGCGGCGATGCTTGAAACGCGCGTGAGCCGACAAGAAGCGGAGAAGCTCGATGCTAGGGCGCCGGTGCGAAGTTGCAAGGCGCGACGCACGAAACCAAGGAATTCTGAAGATGCTATTTCGTATTTTTCGAATATTCTGAACGATAGAAAACGTCGAACAGTAAAAGTGTGCTGCGAATCGAATGGAATAGGCAACATTATTTGCTAATTATTCGGAGTGTCGAATATTCCCTCAACTCAGGTTTTCGGGCAACGATCGCTCCCTGCTTGGTGCCTGAAACGCGTTTCAAATGGTGTGTTTGCCGCTTCATCGAAAGTGGTCCCTCAATTTCTGCCCGACGACTTCACAGGATTATCATGTCGTCGTCGGCCGTGATGCCGGAGGTGTTGCAGCAGCGGTGATGGATGCGGCGGATGCCTGTTCTGCCGCAGGTGGCTCTGTAGCCTGATAGCCCAGCTAAAAATTCCCGTTATATCCAATTGGAATTCCAACTGGTTTTAATTGGAACCAATTGGTAGTAGTGGGTTCCAACTGGAAGCAAGCTGGCCAATGGTTTACACCAATTGTAATCATTTTTCCAGTTGGAACCCCAATGGATTCCAAATAATTTTTATTGGCAGCAACCAATTGGTTGCCTGAAAATCCAACTGGTACCATGGTAAAATTCTGATTGGAACCTAATGAGAATTTTGAACTGGGAGTCCACGGAAGCTTTGGCAATTGAAAGCTTGGATGCCGCAACGACGGCAACACTCGCATTCTCTTGTGATTTTTAATGAAGAATGTGTTTTATGCGCCGTCTTCTATGAGAAAATAGTTATGAACGAGCGTCATGGGTGAGCGCCGTGGACGAGTGTCAACAACGAGCGTCGGGAAAGACCAATGCGCTGCGAGGGTCACGCAAGTTAAGGTTATACAGGATACAGGATGTTTCCGGAAACGCGGGCCAAATAGCTTTTGCAAAAGCTACGCATCGTGCAGAAAAGAGGTGGATGCCGCGGTGGTCTGTGCCAAAGTGCCCATTAAGGAAAATTATCAGCATTCGGTATAATTAGGTAATTAACTACTTTTTAGTAATTAAACTTATCTGTATTCATTTGGAAGGCATGGTTTTAATTATAAACTTGCTGGACATCAACGAAAATTTCCAAATCCACCAACATTACAACGCTATAAGGCGTGCGCAGCATTTTACAGTGTTCCGAGACAATTTTCAATTTGGACGCGTTTCAAGGTTTTCGTTTCTCACCGGAGAGGATCTGTGCACTAGCAATCCCGCTCCCCAAGGCCAAAACGCACAACTTATGTGCACCGCCAAGCCCCGCACCTATCGGGTGTCTCAAATAGTGGCCAGGCTCTTTAAATCGACTGCCAAAATAATTTTTTACACCTATCGCACTGCGATTTCGTGCAGCGTTGTCCACAGGTGGTGCAAAACTTTTCTATAAAATTTGCAAAAAGCAAACTTACCTGAAGGAAAAGTAAAAAAAGAAAAAGGCTTAACTCCTATGGAAACCCAGCGAAGCCACCGGCCTTCAATCAATATGGTGCCCTATTGTTTGAAGACCGGTGACTTCGCTGCATTTCCTTAGGAGTTAAGCCTTCTTACTTTCTTTACGTTCTCCTCAGGTAAGTTCGCTCTTTGCAAATTTCATAGAAAAAATGCACCATCTGTGGGCAATGCTGCACAAAATCGTAGTGCAACAGTTAAGAAACCGATTTTTGCGGTCGATTGAAAGAGCCTGGCCACTACTTGAGACACCCAGGAGAAGAGGCTAGATTAGAAAGCCTCCGCACTGCCATTTTAGGTTTGCCTTTTTGGCGTCGGTGCCAGTGTAAAGATGCACCCTTAAAGGGGTACTCCGCCGATTTCTTCATGGTCCCCGATTTGCTTGAAATTTTGCTAAACTCGCCAAACAACATCGCCAAAATAGTATCCCAAATATTAGGTCAAAAAAATTTTTTTTCACGAAGTTATTGAATTTACAATTTTAGTCCTCACCGTGTTTTTCAAACTGAAAGTCTCTACTGGCAACAATGAAAAAGTGACGTCATTGGAAGTGCAGGGGTTCACTCTTTGGACTGTAGAATTTGTTCCCAACTGATTCGAAGCAGTTTCATGGTGTCAAATGAATGCTTTGGAAGCTCGCTCCAGTCCCCGCGCTCCAGCACGGAACAAATGATTATCATATTCTATTTTTAGACTGCTCTCCCGACTGGCAAGCTAAACTTCCAGTGACGTCACGGCCCTGAAAAGGGCGGGTATATTTGAATGTTTGTTTTTGCATCATTTTCATTTGCCGATTCCGCAATAACTATTATGAATTTCACGATACTAAATAGCATACCAGAAAGGGCAAAGGCCGGGGAGTCAGAAAATATAGTTAGTTGAGGTATCTCAAAAATCGGCGGAGTACCCCTTTAAGTGTGATGCATGGCAGCGCATGCACAATGCACGTTTTGGCTATGGAGGGGAGGGGCGGGCAAGGTTGCTGGCACGAAGATGCGGTCCAATAAGAAAACGAAACCTAAAAACGCGTCCACATTGAGCAATTTCTTGGAATGGCGTAAAATACTGCACGTGCCTTATATTATTGTAATACGAGTGGATTTAGTAGATTTAACGATTCACATCAAGTGAGTCGTTTTAAATTTTAATTACTAAAAAGTAATTAATTACCAAATTATGGCGAAGGCTTATCATTTTTCTTAATAGGCCCTTTGGTACAGGCCACTACACCATCAACCTCTTTTCTGTGTGAGGCATAGTTTTCTCAGGAGCGATTTTACCCCGCACTTTCGGAAACACCCTATACAGTATAGACCACTTACAACGTAACCGCTTATAGTGCAGGACCGGGTATAACGCGGCTTTTTTAAACCACCGGTTCGCCTCCCATAGAACTCCATGTAATTACATACCGCTTAAAATGCAGAGGCGCGAAGGGAAATACCGGTTATAGCGCGGTTTCTGGAACAGCCCACCGACCGCGCCGACCGACCAGCGCAGCGAGCACGCTTCCCTGTGCGACACTAGATGACGGCACTAGCCGCAAGCGGCACTCGCGGGGCAAGGAGGTTGCTCGGGGAAGCGGGGAGAAGCGAAGAAAGAGGCTTCAGTTGCCACAGCGACGGAGGGACGCACGTGTCGTTCACGTGCGTGCGTCCCTCCGCTGCGTTGGGAAGGTTGGAAACAACCGCAACGACAAACCAATCGCAGGTCGAGGAGAAGTGTTTGTGCGCGTTGCATGCCGGTCGCAGGCCGGCTTCTTCTATCCGCAAATATGGCGTCGGTTGTGATCGTCGACGTAGGCAGCGTTGTGGAAGCTCATCTTTCCGCGTAAAAGCGCTATCCTTGACTGTGAATTTTCGTCGTGTGTCGCTATGATAACCCAGCACGTACTAGAAAGGAAGATCCACCTACTCATGCGGCGATGTCGTGGCGGCGCTCTCAAGACAGCAGAAACGCCCGTGTCGTCGTGTTTGTTTACTTCGACTACAGTGGTGCTTTCTAAGCATTTGTGTTTTCGAGCATCGCCCGGATTTCTTATTTGGAGCATTTCATGCCTGTGCTCAAGTTGAAGGTATTACTGGCGCGTACCATATAAAGGATGCGAATTTTCACGCGTTTTCATCACCGGAGAAAAGTGATTAGGGCTAGCAATCCTGAACGCTCGCAACGTCTGTCCGCAACCCGCGACGCCGTTAAAAGGCTGCGCCAGGCAAAAGTCGCTCATTTCTTTCGAAATGCGTGACACACTTGAGAGAGAAGTGTACTAGTCTGGTGAAATAAAGACTTTCTTCAAACTAAGCTTTATTTTTCATCTAACATAAAATTAATTATTTTACAAAGGTAAGTTGTCTCATGGCATGTATTTTGGCCTGAAAAATTGATGTTTTGGTTATAACGCGGTACCGCTTATAGTGCAGATTTTCACGACTCCCGCGACATACGTTTTATGCGGTCTACACTGTATAAAGGTTACAAAAGCCCAGATCAAATCAACATCGGATAGAAACACCTCAGCAGGTATCAAACCTGGGTCAGTACATTTGGATACCATAAACACTGAGCTGCGAGCACAACTGCTCTGGAAGGGTAAGTGACTTTACCTAAATGCAAAGGCACAAACAACACATTTTAAATAAAAATAATAAAATACTGAAACTAAATGAAATAATAAATATAAATAACAAAAAAACAATGAAATAGAGAAAAATAAAACAAAAGATAAAAGTTGAGAATAACAAAGAGAAGACAAACAAAACTAAAAAAATTAAAACAAATAAAGAAGTATATAAGTAAAATATATATATAACAAAAAGACTGAAAACTCTAGCAGAAACCACACATGAAGCGTGTTTTTACAGCGATAGCTGTTATGGGCTCTTGCCACTACTGTAAATGACATTCGTTGTTGATGTTGTAATTGGCGATTTAGGGCGCCCGTCGTTGATGTTGCAAAATCCTTAAAAAAAGTGAAAACCGTTTACAACTCCCCGTAACACCGAATTAGAGCGCAGCTCTTGAGGAGGAGGAGAGAAGGGTACTAGGGGGTCCCGATGATGTCATCAGTGACGTCACTGATGACGTCATCCGTGATGATGACGATGACGATGCGGATGCCGGTGACGTCATCAGTGACGTCACTGATGGCGTCATCAGTGATGATGACGATGTGGATGCCAGTGAGGTCATCAGTGACGTCACTGATGACGTCATCAGTGCCGATGACGATGCGGACTCCAATGACGTCGTCATCAGCGATGATGACGATGACGATGCGGATGTCGGTGACGTCATCAGTGACGTCACTGATGACGTAATCCGTGATGATGACGATGACGATGCGGATGCCGGTGACGTCATCAGTGACGTAACTGATGACATCATCAGTGACGTAACTGATGACGTCATCAGTGATGATGACGACGACGATGCGGATGCCGGTGAGGTCATCAGTGACGTCACTGATGACGTCATCAGTGATGATGACGATGACGATGCGGATGCCGGTGACGTCATCAGTGACGTAACTGATGATGTCATCAGTGACGTCACTGATGACGTCATCCGTGATGATGACGATGACGATGCGGATGCCGGTGACGTCATCAGTGACGTCACTGATGGCGTCATCAGTGATGATGACGATGTGGATGCCGGTGAGGTCATCAGTGACGATGACGATGCGGACTCCAATGACGTCGTCATCAGCGATGATGACGATGACGATGCGGATGTCGGTGACGTCATCAGTGACGTCACTGATGACGTAATCCGTGATGATGACGATGCGGATGCCGGTGACGTCATCAGTGACGTAACTGATGACGTCATCAGTGACGTAACTGATGACGTCATCAGTGATGATGACGATGACGATGCGGATGCCGGTGAGGTCATCAGTGACGTCACTGATGACGTCATCAGTGATGATGACGATGACGATGCGGATGCCGGTGACGTCATCAGTGACGTAACTGATGACGTCATCAGTGACGTAACTGATGACGTCATCAGTGATGATGACGATGACGATGCGGATGCCGGTGAGGTCATCAGTGACGTCACTGATGACGTCATCAGTGATGATGACGATGACGATGCGGATGCCGGTGACGTCATCAGTGACGATGACGTCATCGGGGAGGTCACGTGACCTCGGCGGGGGGGGGGGGGGGAGGGGGGGTCACGTGACTTCGGGGGGGGGGGGGGCACGTGACCTTGGGGGCCACGTGACCTTGGGATGACCTTGGGGGGTCGCGTGACCTTCGTTACGCCGACGCCGCTCAAGCCGGGAACGGGCCCCTAAGAGCTGCGCTCTAAAAGATTGCCTGCCACTGCTTGCGGGAATCGCACCTGGATCTGCTGTGTGTGAAGTGGAGACGTTAGCACTGAGCTACGCCACAGCGTTAATACCCCCCTCTACATTCTGGGTGTTTACAGTACCCAATGCCCACTGCACGCGCTCTCCTAAAAAGAAACCATAGCTGATAAACTGCTGTTGTAGCACTGTCAATGCCAAGAGCTCATGCCAGGGAGAAGTGCTTTCAAGTGCTCCGGAAAATAAAAAAAAAATCAAAAGCGTTAAGAATTTGTAGTACCCGATGCCCACTGCATGTGTTCTCTGGAAAAGTACAGAGAAATAGCCAACGAAACATGCCATCCTAGCACTGTCATGCAAAGAGCTCGTGCTGGGAGATTTGCACTCATGCACTGCGGAACGAAAAAGTTACTAAAACGCTCGGAACCAAGTGGTTAGATGCATATTTCATTCCAAACGCTTTTGATCACGCTCCCCATGGTGCGTGAATGTGATGTCGAGGCCCAATGACTTCACCGTGACGTGTCGCTGCTGTCGCTATGATCGTACCATGAATTAATGCAGGCCCACTAAATATTTTTTATTTTTTTTATTTTGTGGGACATATTGTGCGCTTTTAGGTCTATCATAAGCATGGTCAAGTCCGCATAATTTTTCCAGTATTTCTATGCCCAATAGCCAGGATCGAGACATTCAGTAGTCTCATGCTCCTGCTTTCACTGTGTGGGGACCGTTGGTCGCCCTTCCCCAATAGCCGGTATAACGGCCGTGGTTTGGGACGCGCGGCCAGGGTGCCGTGAGTTCCAACCTGTTCGTGAAGCGTAGGAAAGCCGCCTGGCTCGGGGGGGCTCTCCTCCTCACTCTCTCCCGGGGGGACCTTTTTCCGTCCCCCCGCTCATCCGGGAACCTCGTTGTTTTGGGTGAGGACGACACCCGCGGGGGGAGGAGGTCGACGCGCTTTCCCAACACCGGGAATGTGGGGGACTCCTCCCGCGGATGCGATAGAGATCGGACGTGTCGCGAAGGACTTCCTTTGCCCGCTCTGGACTGCACTCTCGGGACGGTGTCGACAGGGTGAGCCTTTAATCTGACCTTGTCGGCGCGGGGGTTTTGGGGACAGTGTGTCTTTTGGTGTTCCAATAAACACCGTTGGACCCAGTCCTACTGTGATACGTGCTCCTCCTTTTTAGAGAAGCGATCAGTTGTGCGGCTGACGTTCGGACCCGCCCGTAGCGGTGTTCTCGAGAGAAAGTTGCGGAGTGTGGGAGTAGGCTTAGCGTCTTCCGAATAGAGACCGCCGCTGAACCCTTCGGTCACCACCATCCGTGACCATCCCACAACTGGGTTATGAAAAACGGCGCGAAAATAAACGAGGGACAAGTAAAAGAGGTAACGACAGACACCGCGCTGACTAGAAACTGAAAGTTTATTTGTGCACAAAACACGAAATAAACAGGAAAAAACATACAAACAACCCTTCAAAACGGTTCCACGCACATGCTTATCTGCGATCAAACGAACTTGCCACAAATCATGATAAAGTTCACCTCGTCACTGTTTAAAGCTAAGGACAGCGCACTGACGCAATGTTTCCATGATGTCACAATTTTAGCCCGACACAGGAACAAAGCCGTGAGGGAAATTGATGAAGCTTTTTTTATATCTGTGAAAGGAGAGGAAGCGTGCATCAGTGCGCCATCCTTAGTTTTAAAGAGTGACGATGTGAACTTTATCATGACTTGTGGAAAGTTTGTTCGATCGCAGATAAGTGTCTGCGTGGAACCGTTTTGACGGGTTGTTTGTGTGTTTTCCTGTTTATTTCGTGTTTTGTGCACAAATAAACTTTCAGTTGCTAGTCTGTCAACACCTCTTCTACTTGTCCCTCGTTTATTTTCGCGCTGTTCCCCTATCATGATGTCACACCAACTCGCCCAACTTTATGCGTTGTTTCACTATGTTGTATGTTGCCATCTCGGGACCCCTTTTGCTGCACAGGACGCCCAAAATTCCACTGGTTGGCGACGCATCCCATTCCGTGCACTTCGGGCACCCACCTTCCAGGTGAAGAGTGGAAAGTCCTTGGAGCCGAGCGGGCAGTCTGTGAGCTCGGCCATCAGGTCGGGGGCCCACTGGCCCATAATGCAGATGGCCGTGTACATGGATGTCACGTCCGCCACCACGATGGGGCTGTCGGGTGCCACATGGCGCCGGATCCACGTCTGGCACCGCATCTGCTGCTTGGTGGGCGCAATGATCAGGTACCTGCCACACACCTCCTCGCAATGAAGTGTCGATCCCACGTGCGCAGATCGCGGAAAGCGGGCGCGCGGTGCGTGCTCGGGGACGGTATAAGGCGAGGTCGCGGCTAGGGTCACTGAATGTTCCCAGAGTACCGGAACTCCCAGGCTCAAGGTGCCAAGACGGTGGCTCAATCTTTTATGTTTACTGCGGTCAACATGAGTGCTTAGAAAGCATGTTTTTGCACAAAAACAATGCGCAAAAACAAAAGGAAAAAGCTCCTTTTGTAGGAACTTTTATTGGAGATCAGTAAAAAATGAAGGGAGAGCATTGTTTTCATAAAATTCTAGTTTACAAGGTTTTGCAGCACAATTAATATTGTTTTTAAACAACAATGTCTCACCGGTGATTTATGTTAGCCCAGCCCGACTTGGGGGCGTCCTAACTTCGGTGGTAATTTGCAGCGCGTCCACTTGGGAGGGGAGGGTTGGCATCCCTAAAACCCCTTCCACCATATATGTTTCGGTGCCAAAATGGCCGATCAAAGCTATAATTGAACAGTAACAGCGGACGCTATCAAATGCGATAATCTATCAACTATACAGTGACTTTAGTCACGGCTAGTTCGCTTCTTCGAGGCAGTGCAGACAATGTTGGCAAATAAGGCGGCATACTTTTTCTTTAACAACTATACCGTGTTAACCATTGCGCTGAGACTGCGACCAAGGCTGCAAGTGCGAGCTGTGTTCCTGGCCCTGAGATGTGCCTTTCTGGCGCGAGTGCTCTTTCGGCAGAAGAGTGTTTTAAACCCGCAACCTTGTGCTCTCGTGCTTGTAGCATTGGCCACGGTGGTGAATGGACTATAGCTGCAGTCTCATGGATGTCAAAGGATCACAATAACCCGATTGCAGGTGAAAGAAATATACCCGTAAGTAATTTTCACTGTAACGGCTTAGCCTTTCGGGCAGATAAAAACGGCAAGTTTTGGAGTTGTACACGAATAAAACGGAATGAATAAGCGCGACTGCCACACCTAAAACCTCGCAAAACAAGGACGTGCAATGGGTGCATTAGGATCAATGTTCTGGAGCAATGGGACTAACGCCGGTGACACCAGAGTACGAGGTGTCTCGGCGGAGTCTTCTATTCGGAAGACTCCCTCGAGTCAAGGGGAAGACCCATGAAGCTTTAGGGTTAGTGACCTGTCGTAAAAAGTAGTATTTCCAAGCGCAGTAGGTCGAAAATGTGGTGTCTATCATAATTGTAAGAAAGAATGGGAGAGATTACTCGGCGATGAACGAAAGCGTCGCGTCGCGGAGTCGGAAGATGCGATCGGTGTCACCAAGACACGGCACCTCGGCAGTGTTTCCAGCAAACAATCTCAAGAGACGAGCAGAAGACGACAGTGCTCTGCCTGAAGTGTGACAAGCAACTATATGCTGCACTTCGCCGCCTTGGTCGGCCTGAATACACATGAGCATGAGACTCAAGAGAATGAATAAGCTTATTTATTAGGCCTCTCGCAAAATCGAAGCTATCTTAGCGACATAGTGCCGCACAAAGCATCTTGGGAGCCCATTGGTCGCGGTTTCAGTTTCGATTTGCCAACCTCAATTCACGTCATTCCGTCCCGACCAAATAAAGTGTTAGCATTTTCGAATATGTGACTTTCCTTAAATTTATAATGCTGTAGTTGTTGCCCATCAATATGGGCAGAATGTGGGGGCATGTTTTCTTAGGCTCCCGACATGCCAGAGTTTGTGCACAGGTAAACACATAAAGAAGTATTCTGGGCCGATCATCCTGTTCCATTGTCTTAATGTCCGAGACTTCTTAAATGATTCATGAGTAGGGTCAATCATGCTGCACTCTGGAGTGGTAGCCATAGGACTCTGGAATGGTACGAGACGCGACTGGCCGTACTCATACTTCTCGCTAAGCTTAGGTGGGTCCTTATGGCCGCGCTCGAGGTCCGTGTTTCAATCGGGGCTCTCACGAAGATGAATGGGTGCAATGCGAGAGAGCGCCAACTTCATTTTCGTGTAATGCCGAGGTGCACCACTTCGTCACTGGGGCAATTGAAACCGAAACCATGCCATTTCTCTCCACGGCCGAATAGATCCCGTATAACACAACGCAAACAGCGTTGCTTACGGGTATTTTTTGGAAGTAGTCTATCGACTAGGTTGAGCTAACTGTACCATATTTACTTGCATAATGAATGCAAACCGCCTTTCCCCCCCCCAATGGGTACCAGTATTTGGACATTGTTTTTTTCATCTCCCATAATGAATGCACGTGCCTCCAATCTTCGGCTCCGCGAGTCTCGAATCGCACCCAACTCATCGAGCCAATTTTCGTTTGCCGCCAAGCCAAGCTGCTCTCATAATGGCTGCAAGTGCGAAGTTGAGGAAGTGATTAACCACGAAACTGAGAGGTGTGCACACTTGACGAAGCTTGGGTCGAGGAATTGCCCAGCCTCGGACATTCTTCGCCTATCGCATGCATTGATGTCAACAAACACGCCGTCGTCTATGGTCCGCTTTCGGACAGTGAAATCATAAAAGTGGTTAAGCCTAAGAACGATCGCGTCTTTTTCCGTGCTGAGTGAGCTTCGTAGGACGCTTTTCCTTCGGCAAAAGACATGCCGAAAGTGTCCTAAAAAGGTTTGCAATTTATAAAGCATGGTTACTATGGCGCGCCCCCAACCAGCTGCGGGTGCGCCTCCATCAGTGGAGATGTGGCACGTACCTTGCCGTGCCATATTGGCACCTAATATGACACTTGCACGAAGGGTGTAAATGCAAAAATTTTACCCGGCGTAATGAACCCCCCCCCCCAAGTATGTGCCAATTTTTGGGGGAAAAAAGTGTGTTCATTGTGCGAGTAAATATATGGTACTTTAAATATTGCAAAAAAAAAGTATAAAAAAATCAAAAACAAATTTTGCTCAAAACCTTAAAATTCACTGTTTACTCGCAACTTACTACACCTTTTAGAGGTACAGTCACGCAGGAAATAAATAGCTCCAAGCGAGCGAGCGTTTGTTTTCTTAGGAGCGCTATCCTGGCAGTTTTCCTTCGTACTAGTGCTGACGTCAGGACTCGCCCATGTGAAGCAGACAGGGGGGAGCCCATCAACGCAAAGAAACAGCTGTTATCATCCACATACTCTCAGCGTGGTCTAATTGAAAAGGGGAGAACACCCACTCACTTGGAGCTATTTAGTTTCTGTGTGACTGTACCTCGACGGCATGTGCTTTTCATCTGCGCACGACCGAAAACCCGCTCGTTCAAACCGAATCCGGATCCAGTCCATACCTGTTCTTCTCGAGTCGGATGAGGCTGCAGTCGTTCTCATAGCCGCCCCACTCGTTCTGCATGCCGCTGTTGACGATGGAGCCCACGGGGATGTCCACATCGTTGGAACAAAGGTGCTGCAGGAGGTCCACCACCTCACTGCCTGGCGACTGGAAGCAGAAGACAGCCCGGTTTGAGCCCTGGTATGGTACCCGGAACGCATCTCCGGCTGGCGTGTTTAGCGCGTTCTCGTTCGGAGTCGCTCAATCTCTGCCGGATGACGTCACACTTTTGTCGTGTTGTTGCCTTCTGTGATCCTTGAGGTGGCACAGTAACTAGGGCTGATGCTTGTTCCACTGTAAATCGGTAGCTTGAGAGTCCACGGAAGCTACGGCAGCGACACTAGTGTTGGCCGACACTTTTGACCGGAACTTCTATTACTAGTGATGGACCGAATTTGCCGAAGTTAAGAGTCTTGAAGGAAAGTTTGGCAAAGATCCGGCAATTGTTTGCGCACGTGCTAGAATGCGACAAGGCCATGGATTGCAAAGGGATGCCCTGCGGTCATGCGGTTACCATCATACAGTGTAGTACTACCAGAGGTTACGGCGAGGTGCGAATTAGGTGACATTGTAACTGTGTGTATGTCTTCCTCGAGGAATGCATTAAACACTCAGTTAGAGTAAGCACTCCACCCTGTCCCCTCATCTTTTCTTGATGTTTGCGCTTTGGATTTTTAACAATATCCGGGCTCGACTGTATAGCAATCCTGTTTTCGGCTCACAAATAGTTTTCGCAAAAACAAATAATATTGCTTTATATTTATATCATAATATTGAAACAGCTTCAGTTGTTTCGCCTCCAGCGTGAACTTCCTAGTTTCGATAACGCCTGGGCATTGCATACACCTCGCGCGTGCATGCACAGTTAAAGCACGCCAGAAGGCATCGATCGCGTGTTGCAGGCTCGGCTTTCGAAACAGATACTTTGCCGTTCTCCCGTGTTCGCAGTAAAATGCGCATCTAAAGATTTTTTTTTTTTTTTGCTGATGTGCATTGTGCGGAGGTCGACTTACAATCGAGCTGACTTACAATCGTGTAAATACGGTACTTTTCAGATTAGAACATGTTGTTATCAGGTATAAAAACTACAGCGATTGAAACTTTTCCTAGATTTTGACTACTAATGAATCGGCTGCCAACGCTGGACACGAAACCCGCCATGCTGATATGCGCCTTCGTGCGACCCAACCGACGAATCGGCGTGTTGCTCCACTCACCCAAACTTCGAGCTTCGTGAAAGAAGAGTAGTCGAGGAGCGCCACCCTTTCGCGGCACGCCTCATACTCCGACTTGACTGCGTCGAACCAGGGAGGCTTCCCGTACACCTCCACCTTGGGGGGGGCATCGTCCGGACCTGCACCGGACGACAGCGATCGTCACTGCCCTGCCAAACACTTCCGAGGCAGCGTAAGAAGAAACAAAGCAACTATTTCTAGAAGGGCCCATCGTAAAACTATAGTCAAACACATTCGTAACGAATTCCCGTACTACGTACAAAAAATGAATGTTCAATAAAGTAAAACGAAAATTACGGCTGATTTGCTAAGTGTTCAATGTGTTTTTTTGACCACTACAAAAAATTTCTGTTTAATGAGTATCCCTATGATGATGAATGAATATCCCTATGACGAATACCCCGCTTTCGCATGTTTCCGATTTCGTCTGCACGGTGGCAACACGGTTCGATCTCAAGGCGAATATCCCTGTCCGGCGAATAAGGCCCTCGAAGAGTGCAACCTAAAGATCCAAATGCCAATGCTTTACCACAACGCTCCCACATTTAGCAAGCAAGCGCAGATGACAGGTCGGAAGAACTACCATCAGCATAGCAAAGTCGCCAACCAAGGACCGTGAACAATCCATCAAACGCTGCTCATATTCTGCTGTAAATATTTTGATTTACTGGTTGTTTATTTTCTTGCGATGGTCCCGTCTGTTTTAATGCGAAAGCATTAACTGTCTCATGGAGCGAGCTGACGTCATCAGTTTGAAGCGCCAAAACGGCAGATAGTTTCCCCGATCCTTCAGTTCCATTGGCTGGCACGCGTCGACAGGGCTCCCATTGGCCACTGTGCTCGTTAGTTTCCACGACCGCTCACCCCATGGCGCTGCGTGTCCATCAGCGTGGAGCGTCCAAGGTCACCAGGGGAGCACACGCGCCGACCCGCGACGAAAAGTACGCAGCAGGCGAAAAAGGGAGCGGACGAGCGGCTTGCATGCTTTCGCATGCACAACTCATAAGAAATGCTTAGGTGTACCTCAATCTTTTTATTTACCATGATTAGTATGCTACAAATCTTGTGACAATCCTCATTTAACGAACAAAATGCACAGTTCCACAAGGCACAAATGAACATTATTACAAATTCTCTAGGGGAAAAGTAACAGATTAAAAAATTATTGGTACAGTGATTATCGAAAGATAACAGTTTGATAAAAAAAGATCTAAATGTACCAATTAGCCTTGTTTCTAACGTCACTCATACTAAATTTGCCGCTGTCGCATTTCCTAGAACAGTTCAAATGCTGCACAGGCACATCATGGCTCAGACTTGGTTTTGCATGTTAGATTTTTCGTGCTTAACTACAGTCAAACCCACTGATAACGAATGCAATAGTTCCATGAAAAGTGATCGTTTTATCAGTTGTTCGTTATATCTGGACTTACCTTTAAAACATGTTATAAATAAGGCTAATGAAGCTGGTATTGGTAGTTTCACTCTGCCAGCTCTTTATTTAAAGGAACTGCTTGCATGATTCTACTGCGCCCCCAATTCTAACGTGCAAGCGGATTTAGCTTTCAGATAATGAAAAAGTAAATTGCTGTCAAATTTATTGCGCAAGTAAAATAATGAAGATTTACCACATACCTTTTACAGTAGGCTCGCGAGAATTTAAACTCGGATATTTCGTACTTCCGGTTAATTCAAACAGATCTGAAAATTTTGGTTGTCCCGCTATGTTTTTAATGTATTTATAAGCCGCTTAATTCGAACGGCGTTTTCGCTTAAAGGGCAACTCCGCTCAATTCCGAAGATTTCGGGATAATGAGTGATTTTGAATTAAAAAGCCCTAGTAAAAGACACTGCGTCTTTTGCTTTGCGAAAAATGGGATATATATTTTTAAATCTAATTTTAAACACGAGCGGAAATCGAAACCGAAACTTCGGCTCCGTCCGGCAACATTGGCCTTGGGCCGCCAAGTACATGGCCATCACGTGGTACGAGAGGTCACGTGATCCTCGGCCCAACGACGGGCGGGATGGGGGCGGGCGAGCGTGCGGCAGGCGCGAGTGTCGTCTGCACCGCACTCTTCACCACGTTTTGGTGTCTACGGCATTCGACGACGTCTGCACAACTGCGGCATAAGTCTGGGACTCTGCGCACGTGGTGTCCATACTATGGACGAAATTCCAAGAGGCAATAATCACGAACGGTGAGACGACGACGGTGGTTGTGACGCGGAAGATGGCGGTAACAGCGGGACCACAGCGGGCGGTTGGTCTGCTCCCAAGAAGCGCGCTGCGCAGGCGCGTACGTCAATCACGTGGACACCGCTGAGCGCCGAGAGGCAACGTTGCTGACGTCACGCGCTACGCTCGATCGGAGAAGTAAAAACAAGCAAAAGGGGGCCATGTAGATGGCGTTTAGCTCAATGTTGGCTCCGCCCATGCCGTAGCCTTGACTGCGCTGTTGGTCGCGCCTGAATTCGCCCGCTCGAGTCAGCCGATTTCGGCAACTTGGTGAGTTGCAAAGTTTGCCGGACCGTTTAAGAAACATTTAGACAGAACTGCGTCGTAATATTTGACGTGTGGTCTTCCTAGGCGATACTGAAGAGGACTGCATTGTTTTTACGAAACCAAAAATGAAGCGGAGTTGCCCTTTAATTCATACTTTTTTGTTCCCGCGGCCCCATTGAGTGCGCTTCTTTCCGAGCACCGGTGCACCGCAGAGAAGCAATACCCGCAGAGCTTGTTTTCGCGAGTGTTGCTTCTCCGCAGTGCACCGGTGCTCGGAAAGAAGCGCACTCAACAGCGCTGAAGCAGGCAGACATTAGTGAAAAACGGCATTCACATTATGTGCTTCAAGACCAGCAATGATGACCAAGACGACATCGAGGATGAGGAACAGCTCACTGGCATCATGCTTTCTGGCCATGAAGCACATAATGTGAACGCCGAGCTGGTGGAGTATGCTAGTCTTGACGACGATGTGTGTGTTTGTTGTGATGACTCATTAGAGGACATAAGGAAATAATGCCAGCACAGTGCAGCAGTGAGAGTGAAGATGATGGTGAAGAAAGAAATGACCGACTACCAACTGTCACAGCCGCAAAGGCCTTTGAGCACATCGCTCAGCTCCGGAAGTTTCTGTCTGCAAAGGAAGAGTCCCGTAAAGAGCTACTTGCGTTGGCTGGTATTGAAAATTTTGTTTGGGATCTCATGCACTGACTAAACAGTCCACAATCGACAACTTTTTTGCCGGATGAATGAACTTAACGTCACACTTCTTTCACCAACGTGTTATACCTGTACTTGCTTGTAATTAGGCCTATGTAGAGGAAACTGGCAAAAATCTGCTTTGTATGTGTAACAAATCATAATGTTGTCTAGTATCACATTTAGATGAATTTCTGATAATTCAGACTTCTGGTAATTCAAACTAAAATCTGTGACTTCCTGGAGTTTGAATTAATGAGAGTCTACTGTAGAACAAATTTTATGAAACGCACGCCAACACAAAAATAAATGCCGTGCACTAGTCCGACGATGGTTCTTTGCCGTCCACAGAGGTATATAATACTTGCTTTGGTCTGAAGCGTTTCAAAAGCCGCGCTTCCTGCACATGTAAGAGTGCTTCTGGCGTTTGCAGTGTGTACGCCTTGATAAGATAACATATATCTAATCTAAAATGCACCTACATATATCTTAATTATCAACATAAAGGGGGAAATTAGTAATGCTCCGTGAGGAGCCTGACTTGTTTTACTATGGTTCAACACGGCAGAGAGTTGGGCGAGTTGGTTAAGCATCTTAATAGGTGGGAACAGCGCAGGAAAAAACCGACGAAGGACGAGTAGAAGAAGTGCACAGACACAGCGCTGACTAACAACTGAATGTTTATTTTCAAGCGAACCAGAAAGTAAACACTGGGTGTGGAGAGGAAAAAACACAGAAGCCAAAAAAAGGAGGGAACCCGATAAAACAAGACACTACCACGCCATATCACTATCACACACGTCTGCCACAGTTCTTGATAAAAAACACTTCGTCAGCCCCCAAGTTAACCGACGGAGCACTGACGCATTCTTCCTCCCCCCTTGATAAAATATAAAAGGCCTCATCAATCTCCCGGGCAGTCTTGTTTTTGTTGCGCGCCAAGATCGTCAACTCATTGAACAGGGGAACGCAGCCGCACCTACTACAATGTACCGCAAGGTGGCCAGAGGGTGAGGAACGGAGAGCAAGGGAATGCTCCCTCGCCCTCACGTTCACACACCTCCCTGTCTGTCCAATGTAAACCCGACCACATGTGAAGGGGATCTGGTATACAACCCCTACTGCGCATGAGACAAACGGATCGCGGTGGTTAACATCACAGTGGTTATCCCTGTTCAACCCTCGGTTAACGGCGGAGCATAGTTGAGATAACTTCCGGGGCGCCGAAAACACCTCAGGCACCTTATACTTGTTGGCCACGCGCTTGACTTGATGTGAGAGGGCGTGAATGTAGGGCACCACCACTGGTCTGGTTGTCGGTTTTTGCCTCGCCTTAGGACTGGCTCTACCTCCGAACACCTTAATAAGGGACTCAGCCACTCCCACAATCATCGCCACCGGGTATCCCGCAGAGGTCAGCCTAGACACCTGTGAAAGCAGGCTGTCCTCACACCTATGGTGGCATGACTTGAGCAAAGGGGCGCGCATACCCGACGTAGTGATCGCACGCTTCACAAGCTTTGAGTGCGCGGAGCCGTACGGCAAAAGCCTCTTCTTAGAGCGTGGCTCATAGGCCCAACAGGTGTGTGACGGCTGAAGAGTGAGCCTCAGGTCCAAAAACTGCAACCCCTCTCCCGTAGGTGTCTCGTACTTAAACGATAACCCGGGGGAGCATTCCTTAAAGGAAGCCATGACTTCCACACACACACTATCCCGGTTGGGGCCCAGGCTATCTTTAAACACAACAAGGTAGTCGTCAACATACCGAAAAACTCTCAAAACCCGACAATCCAACGACTCCGCTATGGCTCTATCACACCTCGCCAGATATAAATCACTAAGGATAGGCGCCACACTCGACCCAATACAAATCCCACTCTTTTGCAGGAAAATTTCGCCTTCAAACGTGATATAGGTGGAACTCAAGTAAAAAGTCAACAACTCCAAAAAGGATTCCACCGCCAAACCCGTCGAGTTCATAAAAGCCACCGACCCACTGGACTGAATGCACTCTTCCACCGCTTTCATCAATTCACCATGGGGTATTGAGTAGAACATATCCTCGACATCCAGAGACACTAAATCACACCCTCCCGGATTGTCTTCTCGGAGGTAATCCACAAGGGCCTCAGAATTGCAAATACGAAAAGGGTCATCCAACGTGAGCACACACAGGTGGCGCTGAAGAAAAGAAGATACATGAAGCTGCCAGGAGTCTCTCTGGGTAACGATAGCTCTAAAAGGCCTGAGCTCCTTATGGGTCTTCACGGAGAAGAACACCTCGAGATTGAGGCCCTTGGCCCCCGACACAGACTTCCCGAGGCCCTCCAACCCAAGCTGACCGCAAAGCCTCACTGCCCTGGCCTTTACCCTCTTCAGCTCCACTCCCGACACACTTCTGAAATTCTTAAGCACCGCCTGTCTCGCTCTTTCCTGAAACATACCTTCAGGCACCACAACAAACCCCCCCTCTTTATCCGACAACCTTTATCCGAGTGTGGCGCCTATCCTTAGTGATTTATATCTGGCGAGGTGTGATAGAGCCATAGCGGAGTCGTTGGATTGTCGGGTTTTGAGAGTTTTTCGGTATGTTGACGACTACCTTGTTGTGTTTAAAGATAGCCTGGGCCCCAACCGGGATAGTGTGTGTATGGAAGTAACCCGGGGGAGCATTCCTTTAAGGAATGCTCCCCCGGGTTATCGTTTAAGTACGAGACACCTACGGGAGAGGGGTTGCAGTTTTTGGACCTGAGGCTCACTCTTCAGCCGTCACACACCTGTTGGGCCTATGAGCCACGCTCTAAGAAGAGGCTTTTGCCGTACGGCTCCGCGCACTCAAAGCTTGTGAAGCGTGCGATCACTACGTCGGGTATGCGCGCCCCTTTGCTCAAGTCATGCCACCATAGGTGTGAGGACAGCCTGCTTTCACAGGTGTCTAGGCTGACCTCTGCGGGATACCCGGTGGCGATGATTGTGGGAGTGGCTGAGTCCCTTATTAAGGTGTTCGGAGGTAGAGCCAGTCCTAAGGCGAGGCAAAAACCGACAACCAGACCAGTGGTGGTGCCCTACATTCACGCCCTCTCACATCAAGTCAAGCGCGTGGCCAACAAGTATAAGGTGCCTGAGGTGTTTTCGGCGCCCCGGAAGTTATCTCAACTATGCTCCGCCGTTAACCGAGGGTTGAACAGGGATAACCACTGTGATGTTAACCACCGCGATCCGTTTGTCTCATGCGCAGTAGGGGTTGTATACCAGATCCCCTTCACATGTGGTCGGGTTTACATTGGACAGACAGGGAGGTGTGTGAACGTGAGGGCGAGGGAGCATTCCCTTGCTCTCCGTTCCTCACCCTCTGGCCACCTTGCGGTACATTGTAGTAGGTGCGGCTGCGTTCCCCTGTTCAATGAGTTGACGATCTTGGCGCGCAACAAAAACAAGACTGCCCGGGAGATTGATGAGGCCTTTTATATTTTATCAAGGGGGGAGGAAGAATGCGTCAGTGCTCCGTCGGTTAACTTGGGGGCTGACGAAGTGTTTTTTATCAAGAACTGTGGCAGACGTGTGTGATAGTGATATGGCGTGGTAGTGTCTTGTTTTATCGGGTTCCCTCCTTTTTTTGGCTTCTGTGTTTTTTCCTCTCCACACCCAGTGTTTACTTTCTGGTTCGCTTGAAAATAAACATTCAGTTGTTAGTCAGCGCTGTGTCTGTGCACTTCTTCTACTCGTCCTTCGTCGGTTTTTTCCTGCGCTGTTCCCACCTATTAAGTTACTATGGTTCTTGAGATAAAAACTAGTATAGTGGATTTCTCTTTTTTTTCCATCTTAAAAAGAGACACGAGTCCGTAGACGCCAGAGAATGTGGTTGATACGGGTACCAAAATGGCAAACGTAAACAAACAATCATGATGGTGATGGGGCTAGCCACCTTATACCAAGCATTGAGTTACATAGAACGAAGGAACGAACGCAGCACCGCAAGAGTTGACTTTCACCTTCTCCCCCTCTTCTCCCTACGCGACCCAGGAGGGCATTTTTGCTTTTGTAGTTTTGTTTTCCGCACAGCTGTGGAAATGACCTTGAGCATCTCCCGGAGTGCCGCGTCCAAAATGTGGCTCTTTTAATTTTTTTTTTCCCTTTCGCGGGCGGGATTTTCTTTTTCTTTTTTTTGAAAGCGGATTTGGAGTGTTTGTTGTAACAGTATGATGCTTTAAAAAACGGTCGTTCTATCTGGACCAATTTTAATGGGTAGGGCCTTGAATTCATATATTTTCTAAAAGCTGGTTGTTATAACCGATAGATTGCTATAAGTGAGTTTGACTGTACAACGAAGAGATCTATAGTACAAACATTTTCGTCTGTCCAGAAAATGTCTTTATAAAGGCATTTGGTGATACATGAGATTTGGCAGCCTCATGTGCCGTGGCAGCCATCCAGATGCCAGTATAACAGTGAGTGTTGAAGGAAAAATAGAACCCTACTTGTTCGGTTGAAGAAAAGTCACAGTATCACTAAAATAGAATATCACAAAGCACATTTCGTGGTATCATATTATTTTAGGAGCAAACCACCAATCAGCAGGAATAAAAATGGCTTTTTAGAAAGACGACACGGTTTCGATGAAACTCGCAAAAATTCGCTCCCTCACGACGCAGAATGTAGTGTTGTTTGTTACCGGCAGGTGTCTCTCTTAACAATACTAACCTGATTCTAACACAATATCATAGAGGGCGCCGCCTCACTGATACATTTTGTATATGGGTCATGAATAAAGCCTGCAGCGGGTTTTCGCCCATCCGACCCAGCTGAGATTGTCTGGCACTGGTCTCTACACAGAACAGTGGACCAACATGGTCGATCACTGGAGCAAAGCTGCCAAGCGAAATGATGCACATACAGATGGCATTGCTCACCCTCTCCATTTTAACAGATTTAGGAGTGCTAGTTCAAGCGGGATCGACGCAAAGTAGAAGAGGCGCCCTTAGATTTTTTGAAGGTGATGAGAATTATTTCACTTAATTGGTGCTCAAAATGTACTATAAAAGTTTTCTGTTACATCTTTTTAAAGTCTACAATGAGGTGCAGGTGTATTCAACGCCCCCTTGATAACAATGCGAGAGTGCTGGAGACTGGAAGCCAGCATCGGGAACAGATATGACAGCAGCATCAAAACTCAGCTGGGACTCACATCCTCGCTGATCAAACATGAGCCCCAATCAAATGCTAATGCAGCACTCGTGCCCGATCTGTGCCCCGTAGAAAATCAAGCACTACGGCTTTGTGATCAGAAAGGTTTTGGGCATACCTACGTCAATTCAGACTTTGTGCGTAGCAACAAGCTAACTCCGGTCTGGTGTCCGTTTGTGCCGGAAGATCGCACCTGGCGTCAAGAAGGGGTCGCTCGAAGTGTAGTAGTGGGGCCGCTCGTAGCCCATGGTCTGCCCGAACACGGCCCCGGCGAGCTTGAGCCGCGGGTAGATGGGGGACATCCGGAGATCCCGGCCAGTCTCAAACTCCGCAAAGGGATAGCACAGCTTGTAGTGCATGCCTGCACAACATGATAAAAATGAAGGAAAATAAACGTTGAAATAAAAACCCTTATACGAGGCCACAGGTTCATTGGAGATCAAACACTCCAGTTGATATAGGTAATTCCAATGGTGAGTTAATTAAATTGGTGTATATTTGCAAACCAATTAAATTTTTAAGCTAGATGTAGTGGGGAAATCATGTGTTACACTTTTGTGTTACATTTCTCTTACATTTTTGTGTTACATTTTTTGGGAACATTTTCCTATGAAACCTTAACCCAGTACATGTACCATGTAAACTATACACTCGATTAGCGACCCTTATACTAGTGGTCATAGGTCGGCACTCTGGATCCGAGTCACATTCACAAAGTTTCTCCAGAATTCATTCACACAGGTATCACAAATTTTTCCAAGGTCCAAATGTCACCACCAGTCATACTATGGTAAGTCCATCAAGATTCAAGTCACCGCCACTCAAATCACAGAGGTTATCAAGATAGAAAAACTCACGACCCTTCACATCACCTGCGACTTCCATCAACAACATCGTCGATACCACCAAAGTAAAACTTCAAAATACCACGCAATATCACCGAATCACAAATATCAAGAATTATCACATTCACAAATATCATAAAATATCCTCGACTCAAATATCACCAAATATCACTGACTCACAAATACCACCAACTCCCAAATATCATGAAATATCACCGATATCACAGATTGAAAATGTAACAAAATATCACGACTCGCATATCTTACCATATACCATCGATATCACCAAATCAGAAATATCACGCAGGTTCACCCGACAGTGCTACTTGCTGCCGTTTGGTTTGGTTTTGGTATTTGATGTTGAAAGCCAAGCCAAACTCAATGGTTTCCATGGCTCCGCAACAATGCAGATGCTGCTTGTTATTGTTCCTTATTTCTTTTCTTTTGGATAAGGGGATAGAAGGGAGAGGTGTGGGCCTTCATTACGGGGCAAGTCACTCGTGCGTGCAGAACTGCGAAAATCACACGACGGGCACGGAGATTGAAAGCACTGCGATAGCCTTTTGAGCATCATGTGCCTTCAGTGTTCAAAATTTCCACATCTGTTAATAGAAGGAAGTCTCAAAAGATATCTGCATGCACCAATTCCGCCTGGACGCCCAGAGAACGAAAGAATACATTCCAAGCTCACACCATTTGTATGTGAAACAAAACAACATTGCAAATGACCAGGCGAAGTGCGGTGCGATTGACAGCGGTAGCTGCTGTGTTGTGAAAAGGCACGTTAAAGGAGATTTGCTTTCAGCCAGTGTGCTGTACAGTCGAACCCGGTTATGTCACAATGGGGTATTTCGAATTATTGTTTATATCGAACAGTCCAAACATCACTTGAAAATCACATGTAATAGTATAGGAGCGTTGTTTTTGTGTACCAAACTCCCATGGCGGGGACAGTCGATATAGCAAACTAGAGAACAAAGCACGGCGGCTAGCACGGGTGCCTGCCACTTCTCCCGCGGTGGATTGAGGTGGATTGCGCAGGCCGCGGAAAGTACATAGCTCGCGTTGCGGGGCTGGCAAACTGCCAAGCCAGCATATGCGCACGGGGATATGCAGTGAAAGAGCAGTTGTAAAAAAAAAAAGAAAAAAGTGGAGGATGGCAAAAGCAGGGGAAGGGCACGCGCGCGCATAGAGAGGGCAGGGAGTGCCTGCTGTTGGAACGGTAGCATGTGCTCTTTCCCCGAACACCACTGTCGCTGCGCGACTCCTTAACCCCAAAATGAAATAAGCAAAAAAAAAAAGATATGTCTTCGTCAAGTTGAGTGTGTTGACAACAATGGTTGAGCAATCACACTTTGAACCCCTTACCTTTGTTTAACTTTTTCTTTTGCCGTTTTTGCTTTGCCCGATTTTTCTTTTTTCTTTTTCCTTCCTTTTTTTTGCTGCCTGAATTTAGTGAGGTTTCTTTTTTGTTGCTTGCTTAACTTTATTCCATGGATCTAGATTTTCTTTTTATGCAGCTGGCTAGTAAACGATTGCAAACACTGTAGCGTAAATGCGGCGGTGTTCGTGATCTTCATCAACTAAGCTCTACCGTATTTAGCAGCTCTTATAAGGGCCCATTTGTCTTAGCCTTCGGTATTAGTAGAGACGTGCGGAAATCTCAACTGGAGCTTAAGTTAACATGTTTTTGTATATCAAATTATTAATATATTGAACTATTTTACGATCCCCTTTGAATTCCATATATACGGGTTTGACTATATAATGTTTGAAATGGGCTTTTTGTAGGGGTGTGCAAATATTGAAATTTTCGAATACGAATCGAATACGAATAAGACAAAAAACGGGCTTCGAGCATTGAATCGAATATCTGTCTTGTAACACAAAATTGCAAAACAAGAGGTAACAGCCGGTTTTATTGCCTTTTAAAAATAAATCAATGCAACTGCATTTTACCGGGCTGCAGCAGGCTAAAGATGCTTCTAGTAGTGCACTTATTACAAATTATCCTGCAGGAAAATTAACTGTTTAACGTGTTCAGAAAGTAAGCGCTCCCTACGTGCCGTGACAACATTTCCACTAGTAGAAAGACCCTTTAATCGGGAAACCTGCGAAATGTCACCAAAGTTCGAAGAAGTTTGACTTATGGACAGTGTTATTTCCCGGCTGCTAAACGAATATTTCGAATTATGGGAAACACATAATTTAAAAACTAGTTTATTTTATATTTTATAAAATGGTTACCATTGTTTACACCACATAAAAGCGAAAATGTTCGCTTTTATCTCCTTCATTAGTTATTAATGTGAACCAGTGATGCCAATAGACCCAACAAATATTGCACTTTTTCTCTGCCAGGTGTCAACTAGTTTCTTTTTTAATTTTCCCGCATGCGCACGAAAGTAGAACTTCAGTAGAACCTTTGTCGAACATCACATTGAAAGTTCGAAAAAGTCTAACTTAGCCAAACTCGAACCTGGGCAGGTTCGCGACATCCCTAGTTTGGACTGCGCGGAAGTGGCAGGAGTTGTCGATGGCGATGCAATGTTCTGCTCGCACCTAGCTTTTTCTTTTCTTTTTAATTTTCAAACATTTAAATTAGGTAACACTCCCAAGATTTATTTTATATTTATATTTCACTCTAGAGGTTTATGTTATTGCATCAATTTATAGAATGTGCAATTACATCACATATTACTATAAAAGCGCCACACAACAAAGGGCTTGGCGAAAAAGAAACCGAAACTGATCCTGTCTTGCTGCCATCGGACAGATGGAAACGGAGCAGACCAAAACGCAAGCATCATACGCCTTTTTCAGTGAATAAACATAGTCATAGGGGAATGCGTGGCAAGCAGATTATTCATTACTTGCTCAAATATTCATAGTTTGTGCGAATATTTGCCGTCTTTCCCGAATATTCGGCTTTGGCCAAATATTCGGGAACTTTCGAAAATGCAATTTTCGAATCAAATACATTTCGAATAAGGAAAATATTTTATTTGTAGGAGACGCATTTGAGATGCGTGCCTCGGTGGAACGACAGCATGAAATGTTGCATGTGTTGAAAAAGGACACAGAGTTATGTCTTTTTAATGCGAAAGCATTAACTGCCCCATGGAGCGAGCCGACGTCATCAGCTTTGAAGCTGCGCCAATTGGCACCTTAGATCCTTTTTCCAAGTGAAGCTGCAGCTCCCAGTTACGAAACCACGCGAAAAGCCTAGTCAAATGGCACCTAATTTCACCGATCTCAAAAGAGCGGAGCAAAGCTGATGGATTTTGGCTTCAGTCCCATTGGCTGGCGGGCGTCGACGAGGCTACCACTGGCCGCAGCACGTCAGTTTCAACGACTGCAACCCCATGGCACTTTTGAGGCAGAGGCTCCACCACTCCATGCCCAAGGTCAGTACGCCGAGGACAGCGCGCGCTCTTGATCGTCGACGGAAGTATGCCGCAGATGAAAGAAGGGAGTGGAAGAGCGGCGTGCATGCCTTCGCATTCACAACTCATAAGAAGTGCTTAGGTGCACCTCGAGCCTTTTTCTTTTTGTTGAAACATTCTTTCAGGATGGGGGCACCCGTCACTGCCCCTGTGGTGGAAGAAGTGAAAGTATGTATGCGAATTGTTCTGTACAGGGACAGAGAGACACGGGAATGGAACCTGGGTGACAACAGTGGGGAGGTGAGGGAGCGCGTGTCTGCACAGTGCGACCATGTGGGCATTTTGGAACAGCAGCTTCAAAATACCACGCAGCTTTGCAGCTGCCACCATGTGGGTAAATACCCTTACGTGGGTATTTAAGTGGAAAGGGAGAGCATCACCTGAGGGTACATGGATGTAGCAGGAACGATAGGAAGGTGCAGAGTGCTCTTCCCGTGATCACATGGGTTTGTTGGAATAGCGGAGGCCTACAGGGGGAAGGGGAGGGGGGAAAGGAAGTGAGAGAGAGCCTTACCCCAGTTGGCGTGTATGTGCGAGGGACGATGAGAAGCGGGAGCGCAGTGTTTCTGCTGTAGAGTGGAGTATTGCATTTGTACATGAGCATTTTTTTCCAGGAAGAGGCACTAACAGCTACTGCTGTTAAAAGAAATAAACTTGGAGCGGAGTAGCATGCACTCAACAGTGTGAGCAAACTGAAAGTTTGCACAAGAGCACACTGGCATTTTGCAGCAATGTAGTCATATAGCTAGCACAAGCTAGACAAAAGGTTGCACACTAAAAAATTATTTGACCCAAAACCGAGAACGTGCGACGGTGGTGAAGGCGTTGCAGCGGCGGTTTTGACCATCGTCGCTGCCACAGTATCTCTGTTCTCTATGCACGTCACTTGAGTGACAATTTACGTGAAATTGAATACTTTTCACCAAGAAAATTTGACATATCGGCCATTTCTGCCTTTGGGGGGTCGCGCAATTGCTTCGTTTGGGGGGTCGCGCAATTGCTTCGTTAAACAGAAATATTTGTCAAACAGGAATTTGTTGTGGTAGTCAAAGAAAAACACTGAACATGAGATTAGGCTGGGACTTTATTTAACTTTGTTAAAGAGGCGTTTTCATAGTAGAGTTGTTCGTTATAAATGCGTTTGACTGTATTAGGTTGGTATTCTATTTTACTTTGTTAAATGGGTGTTTTCGTAGTAGAGGCGTTCGTTATAAATGCGTTTGACTGTATTAGGTTGGTATTCTATTTTACTTTGTTAAATGGGTGTTTTCGTAGTAATGGTAGGTAATACAGTCAAACGCCTTTATAACGAACGCCTCGTTCGTTATAAAGGCGTTTGACTGTATTACCTACCATTCAGGAGGGAGCTGTATACGAGGGAAGGGGAGAGAGGGGCTCACCGGGGACCTCGGTCATGCGGTCTCTGAGGAACTGTCCATTGTTGTGGGTCCCGATGAAGCGGCGGATGTCGATATCCCACAGGTCCAGGTTGGGCTCCCCCTTGGCAATCCACTCGGCCGTCACCTGGCCCAGCCCCCCTGCCGCTTCGATGCCCACAGACTTCATCCCGGAGGCCACAAAGTAGTTCTTCACCTGGGTACACCCAAAGACGTTTGCTTTATTTTACGCACGGCGTTGTCCACTCGTCTCTAGAGCATGGGTCCTCAAAATGGGTTCCAAGAGTAGTCTTGTGGGTTCCTTAGAGTACCCTCATGGGTTCCGCAGAGTACCCTCCTGGGTTTCCAAGGTCCCAAATCTCCTCGACAGTTCCTGCTCCTAAGCAAATTGCTTTTTTTCATTGAAGTCTATATAAGCAGGCCTGCCACCCACTGATGCGCCACTATAGGAATCAAACACTCCATATGGTACATGCAATATTGTTTACGAGATCTCTCGACTTTTGCATTGCTTTACTGCACCAATACCAAGGATAGAAGGGATTTTGTTGTCGGCGCTGCGTAAAAGTAAATAGGGTGGTGTTTGTGATCTTCACCAGCTAAGCTCTACTGTATTTAGCGGCTCTTAGAGGCTCTATTTGGGAAGGTCCCGTTTGTCGCAGCCTTCGGTATTAGCAAAGACGCTCGGAAATTTCATCTGGAGCTTAAGTTAACATATTTTTGTATATCAAATTACTGATATATTAATCTATTTTACTATCTCCTTTGAATGGAGTTTAAGTGAACATATTTTTGTATATCAAATTACTGATATATTAATCTATTTTACTATCTCCTTTGAATTCAATATATCCAGGTTCAACTGTACTACATAGATAGATACAAGAGGGTGCCATTTGCTGCCCAGTTGCTGACACAAAACCAGCAACCTCTACATAAAATATTAAATTCGTTAATTGATAAGCATTATCGAGAAAACTATAAAATATAGAAATGGATTACTGAAGCAGCAATCCAGACAGGCCATGTCTAGCCTACTCTGCACTCTTCTAAATTGCTTGTGTCAGTCAGCATGGCAAGCCCTCGACCCGCTATCACATTTCCGAGAACCAACGCACCTCTGGAGCCTCTCCGATGATCCAGCGGCTGTCGGCGGTGAAGCTCTCGGGGCAGTTGTACAGCTTGTCCACCTGGACGTTGGCTAGACTGGGCACCCGGAACAGCATCTCCTTCAGCAGCACGTCTGTAGAAGAAAGGCCACTGGCCGTCACGGCCGGAGTGGCAGAGCTCGCCCGAAGAGGGTCCATGTTCGATCGGGATGACTGTCTTTGATGAAAATTTGCCCCTTTCATAAAAAAAGTCTGGCAGAGGCATTGGTAACTGCTGAACTCTGGACAAGCCGGTCAGGTTACGAAACTATACCTTATTTCAGAGATGCACAAACTTTTCAGGCCTGCGACCCCTAAAACACTTGAACGCCGTCTGGTGATCATCTCCCTTGCACCCCTTTAGAACAGTATCAAAGTTATCAGCGGCTCGGCTTCCTTAGGCCCCTGTGGCCCCACTTTGAGCACCTCCACTCTATCTTACCAGTTGGGCACAGTACTGTGGAAGCTACAGGCAAGAGAGAGAGAGAAAAGCCACTTTTGTAGGAATCTTGAGTGATATGCTAACCTCCGAGGGAGAGCAAAACGATGTGGGGTTAACAAAAATAGGGATTTCTTCCTTCCCCTCCTCTCCAACTGTGCGGGTAACGCTCTCACTTCCGTACCTTCGGCAACGCAGCGCGCAGCTAGCGAGGTAGAGTACACACCACAGCAGACGGTGTTTTTCCGGGAAAGAAGAACAACCTTCTACTCAAACCTGTGCACAACAGAAGGTATTTACTTAGCTTGAGGCGATGCATCCCAGGAAGAGAAATCTTCTTCCGACCACCATTAGTGGTCAAAGCTGCGATTCGCAACAGTTGTTGTGTATGGTTAGTTGAATTGTGATGGGTTCAAAATCAGGTAAATTATGTCTGCAATGACAAAAACCCAGAGACTGCAGGTAAACATGACCTAATAAAATTGGGTTGTGGGGATATTTATACAGCGTGTAGTTGGTCAGCCATTAAAGTTGCGACGAGTCACACGCTGTAGATGAGCAATTTAGCCAGTGCAGTACAACCGCTAGCCTGGGGTCTTTAACGTGCACCACACAGTAGTGATACACGACCGCACGCCGGTACGACGCTCATCCAGATCGAAACGGGCAGGGGTGGGGCTCGAACTCAGGATCCCTGGGTTCTGCAGCGCGAGCTTTCGCTCCACGCGCGTCGAGCTGGGTGTGCGCTTCAGCCCACTCAGCCACCGATCCCCCTATAAACATGACCTTTTAGTGTATGCATTGTTTTTACCCGCAGTCTCAGAGTTTCTTTGTCGTGCTTAATACTTACCAGCTCGTTTGCACCCTTACATTAAGTATATATTAAGTATATAGGACAGTCGTCACGCCGAGAGGCTTTGACGAAGCCATCGAGCGACATGATGGTCAGGAAGCACACGTGTGCGCTTTGAGATTCTGTGTTTTTCCGAGACCGGTTCCTGACAGATCGTTGTGCATTATTCTTGTGGCTAGACTTTTGTTTTAATAACACACAAGCTTGACATCGAAGCAACAGGAAAACGTTCAAAGTTCACAATGCGCACTGCTGGACAATGTTAGCGCGAACACGACATCGGCGCTTTTTCGAGTTTTACGTTGGAAAGGTAATAGCGGGCACCAAACTTTAGAACTTATGTTAGTGCCTCAATAGATCAATCTCACCGGGAGTTGCGCGACGCAACCCCTCCCGCGGTGCATTCTGGTGCCTGAGGTTCTCCTGTTTTCCGTCCGTGTCAGTGTGCGTTGTGTGCACGGGTTCGGAAATTTTCGGGTTAGCACGAGACTTTTAATGGGGTGTTTTCTCACGGTTTTCAATGGGTGGCTCGACCCGTTGTGTGCCAGGGTGCTACAATAGCTGCACCAGGCAAAAAGAGATTTTTATGTCTTTGCAAAACAAAGCAGCATTCGATGAGAGTGCCTAAAAAGGTAAACACAGCCTGACAGAGCGGCGGGAAAAGGAAAGTTTTTTGATTTGTTTTGGGATTTGCTTTATAATTTATGTCCACTCCATTACACATAAGCTCAAGAGTGTAAGGTTACCGGGCACGAGACATAGGAGGGGGTGCCGAAGTATTCCGTTCTCCGGAATCTCCCTGAGCACTCGTTCCGTTGTAGCGGTCCATCTCAATCGGGACCTCTGAGCTGCCGAAGTAGCTGCTTTGCAGGGATAACTGTTGGTGGGACACTTTCGCGGTTTTGCGTCGTCGACTGCGCTCCGTATCGACGAGGACCTTTTTCGGCACCCCGCCAAATCATTCCACGGGCCACTCATAACAAGACTAGAAGCAAGCAAGATAACATGCACAGTCAGTAAAACAGTCCCTGATGGGCAATCTGGCAGTGGACTGGGATAGGTGCCCATGGGACCCAGAATTAGAGCAAACAATAATTCTCGGAAAATATGCAGTTAAAAATGCCTTAGAATTTTATGATGCATTCTGTATAAGAAAGCAAGCGGAAAGTGTGTTAGTGCCCCGTGAATGCACCTGACAGATAGAGTTTTATTTTCTAAACAAATAGCCAGAAAGATGGTATTAGTGTATTTACACAAATGTAGGTCGACCCATTTCTAAATTTTTTTAAAATCTGAAGTGGTGGGTTGACTTAAAATCGAACCAACACATTTCACAACCGACAAAAACAAAACAATTGCGATATCAAAAACACCTTGACTTGTTACGAGTTCAGCCGGCTGTACCTGTAGCATTGCGCTATTCTATGCGCTCAATTTATTTATTTATTTATTTATTTATTTATCAATACTGTAGGTCATTGAAGACCCATACAGAAGTGGACATTAGTACAAACAAGAAGCACTACAGCGGTATAAGACATTCGATAAAAAAAAAGACACAAAAAGAAAAACGTATAGGCGGAATGTTATGCTAGAGCATAGAAGTGAGAGTCTCGGCAAAAGACTGCGCTGATGTACTATTTACGATTTCTTCTGGTAACTTATTCCAATCATCAATAACGCGGGGGAAAAAGGAATATTTAAACAAGTTGTTTTTGGCTGAATACGGCCTGATCGTCTTGTTATGGTTGGTTCGCTTTGAGTGCACAAAGGGGGCCTTGAGGTATTTTTCTTGTTCTATATTTATTTGTTGTTGGTACAGTGCGTACAAAAACTTTAGGCTAGCAATTTTTCTTCGATCTTTTAGGGTGTCCAACTTTGCGTTCGCAAGCATAGCGGTAACGCTAGCCCTCCATGAGTAATTAGAATAGATGAACCTTACTGCGATCCTTTGAACTTTTTCCAGCTTATTGTCAAGGTAATCCTGATACGGACTCCAGATAATACTGGCATATTCCAAAACTGGTCTGACCAGTGCCTTGTATGCTGACAGTTTAGTTGCAGACGTAGAGTTTTTTAATTTTCTTCTCAAGAAGCCCAACTTCCTAAATGCATTACTGCATACGTTTGTGACATGTGTCTCCCACTTAAGGTTACTGGATATTGTAACTCCCAGGTACTTTATTTCATTTACTTTATTAATAGTTTTATTATCTAACATATATGAGAAGTCTAACGGGTTTTTCTTGTTAGTGATAGTGATAACAGCAGTTTTGTCGTGATTGATTTTCATACCCCATCTCTTACACCAAAGGCTTATGTTTTGCAATGATTTGTTAAGAATTATCTGACTCTCAGGTCCAGCTATGGTTGTATATATGACGCAATCGTCGGCGAAGAGTCTCACTTTCACAGTTGGATCAACACAAGCCGGCAAATCATTTACATAAATCAAAAATAGCAATGGGCCAAGCACTGACCCCTGTGGCACTCCGGAAAACACATCCAGCATCCCAGAGGTACTACCGTTCAGTGTAACATACTGTTTGCGTTTGACAAGGTAACCATAAATCCAGGAAATCAAAGCATGACTAATTCCAACTGACTGCAACTTACTTATTAATTTCTGATGGGGCACACGGTCAAAGGCTTTTGATAGGTCTATAAAAATGGCATCAGTTTGTTGTCTATCGTTAATAGTAAGCGCAAAATCGTGGGTAACCTCTAGGAGTTGCGTTACCGTAGACAATCTTGCCCGGAACCCGTGTTGATGTGAATAAAGAACATTGTTTTCTTCTATGTGTTTAGTTATCGCCTTGCATATTATGTGTTCAATTAACTTGCTTGTCGTACTTGTCAGTGAAATGGGTCTGTAGTTAGTGATTAAGTGTTTATTTCCTGTCTTGTGAATCGGGACAATCTTAGCACAACGCCAATCATCCGGTAGCCGTGAGGATCGCAGTGACTCAACAAAAATTAGACATAGATAATGCGAGAGCCACTCTGCATATCTTCTTAAAATTGTGCCAGAGATTCCATCAGGTCCAGCAGACTTTTTTACGTTTAGATTCAGTAGTAACGATAGGATTCCGGGCTGAGTAATCTCCAAGTTTGGCATTACAGGCACTTCAATATTTTCTGGTTCACATTCATCTTCGAGGGCTCTAGAAAATACAGACTGAAAAAAATAATTGAAGCCTGAAGATATGGTTTCTGGGTCAACTGTGATAGCGCCATCAATTTCGAACTGTGAAACATGGCTTTCTCGTCTCGACAGATATCGATTTACAGGTTTTTTTGTAAATTTGCACGAACAAGTATTATTTACTGCGACTCGCAATTTAGCCCGAATGCACGACGGGGAACAGAATAGAGTGCGCCTAACTCCCGCGGGTGCCGCCACTACTTGGAAGAGCCACTCCAGAATGGCTGCTGGAACAGCCCAACTTCCCGCCTCACTCCCTACGGCTTCTTTTCGCAGTTTTCCACACGATTCACGGTCGCACGTTGTTTGATCAAGTATCGAGATCATGCTGGAGCGCAAACTATGTTTTTTTTTTTTATTGACACGCGTGATCGGGCAGTTTAGGTTTTCGGTGCTTGTTTATGAACATTCTTCGTTCAGAAGCAACCAAAAATTGTTCCGCTGGATGCAAGTTTGACCCGTTGGAGCGAGTGGTGCTCCAGTGGAGTCTGCAACGGAGCTGGATCTTAACTGTGATGGCAAACGAAGAGGCTTCCGTGGGCCAAAGTCTGGATAGCTGAGGCTGCCTCCCGGAGTTAGAGTTAGTTCATGGTGTTGCCTTCCAGAGTTAGGTCATGATGCTGGATTTTCTATATCACCAACCAGAAACCGACACGAGACGTACAAAGACACGAGTGCTACACCAGCATTCGGCTGGCACTTGTGTCCTCATTGATCGAACGAGTCCCCGCCAAACACCGATGGCCGCAGAACAGCCTCAGAAGGGCCGCAGATTGTTCCGCAAGCCTGAGGAGCCGCAATCCGTTCTCCGGGTTCCGCCCGGGTTCCAGTTTCGCGGGAAAAGAAAGAGCCGCTCACAGAACTGGTCCCAGTCCTCGGGCAGGGTGCCCAGGTCCTTGAGGTCGACGGGCTTGCCCCGTGGCTCGAAGCCCCCGGCCAGGTAGGCGCCTCCGCGCACGCGCAGGTAGAAGTGGCCATCACAGTCGTGAATCACTGCGGCCGGGTGCTTGTGTTTAATTATCGATGCCCACTGACGGCGACGTGCCTTCCCAGTGGTGCGTCGCAACGCAGACGAAAGAGAAACACACGCATGCATGCACGCATCAAATACTCCGACGTTATGGTAATGTCTCTTTAATATATATACTAGACCCCTCCGTTCCTTCCAAAACCATCCATAATGTGAGTTGTTCGTAATAACCGAGACGAATATGCAGACTTTTACCCAGTTCGTCCTTGGAAATGTTGTCTATGCAGTCGGGTATCCATATAAACGTGGACCATATTAACGAGGCATTGGTGTACAAGCAGAAAAATGCAGAAGTGTGTCACTGTCGCTAAATGTTTGTACTTTGTGGAATTATTGTAATACCTGAGTGATGATGCGTTGTATACTGTAAAATCCCGAGAGATACCCCACCCCAAAAAGATAGCCCACCCCTATTTTTAGCTCAGTTTGCTATATTGTTTTAAACACCAAAAGATTGATCCCCGCACTTCTAGTAATAGTAGTGCTGGGATCAATGATGGCCTCGGCGTAAATGCGGCTAGTTAGCTATGGCGGGATATAAGCAAACATTGCTGACTCGAAAGTACAGTAATTTTTGCTTCATTGCCGGAAGGGACGCAACCTAAAAATAGCAATTTTTTAAACTTTTCTTGATAATACACCGAAAGTAAGCCCACTCCATATATTCACCCGATTTGCTCTTGATGTTAGGTGGGCTATCTCTCGGGATTTTACGGTAGTTCTTTTTATGTATTATTTATTAACCCCCAACTATTATAGTTCTACATAGGACTGATAGTGTGTGATATAAATAAAACAGAAAATGGAATCACATATTTTACTACAGTTCTGATAAAACTACCGTAACGTACCAAGAGATGCCCCACCCTGAAAGATAAACTACCCCCTATTTCTGGTTCGATTTGCTATTTTCTTTTAAACACCGAAAGATACCCCATTTTTAGCAGTCATAGTGTCTAGATCAATGATGGACTTGCTGTAAATGCGGCTAGTTAGCTATGGTGGGATATAACAAGCAGTGCTGATAGAGAAGTACAGTCATCTTTGCTTCATTGTCCCATGCCGCGATAACAAGTTTGGCAGGGACACGCGACCTAAAAATATTTTTTTTCCAACTTTTCTCGATTGTACATTGAGGCCACTCCATATTTTCCGCCTATTTGCTTTCGATTTTAGGTGGGCTATCTCTCGAGATAGGTTTTTAAGATAACTTAAAGCATAAACATATCAATTGAAGGTGACAAAATGCCATTTATTAAATGCCGGTTCCATTCGGGTGACAGGCGAGAGCTGGGAGCACTTGCCGACATTAAGCAGTTTCATTGACCTCAAAGAGCAGGAAGAAAAACAAATCAAAAGCTTACCGCGGATAATAGACTTTGGCGTGACACTTTACGCTGTCATGTCATGCGTCGTGTCATGGGTGAACGGCAGAATGAGGCAGGCACTGAGACTCTAACAAAAAGAGCTTGTAATCACGCAGGTCCAAAGAGCCTCACTGATGCATTCCCAATATGACACTGCACTGAAGCTATTCTCATGGTCTGTCCATGGGGATCATATAATTTTAGATCCTTTAATTTTAAGAGGGGGAGATCTCGGATCCAAACCCTAAAGAATAGTTTCTAAATTGTAAGGAGTTTTCTGCTCTAGAGAGTCTGTGCAGCTGCGAAAGAAAGGAAGTCCAAGGAATTTTCCCCCACCCCACCCAGTTGAAAATTCCCATTAGATTCCAATTAGAATTTCCAATTGGTACCAGCTAGGTTTTGGGACAACCAATTGGTCACTGCAATGGGAACCAATTGGAACCCATTAAGATTCCAACTGGAAAATGTTTTCCAATTGGTGAGACCCATTGGCCAGTGTGCTTCCAATTGGAACCCGCTAAAACCAATTGGTTCCAATTAAAACCAGTTAGAATTCCAACTGGACCTAATGGGAATTTTCAGCTGGGCAGGCTGTACACTGGCTCTCCACACGGACAATCTGGGCAGATGCAAGGTCCAGCCGTGGCCTCCAAGATTTCTGGCGCGCAAAGCTCTCCTCCGGCCCTTCCAAACGCTCGCTTGTCCAGCAGAAGGAGCGTATGGAGCTCCTCCAGAGCTCCACAAGACGGTGCCGATACAGAGCTGTTCATGATGCTGATACCAGTGTCATGGACGACGATGAGAACGATGACTATGATGATGGGAAGCGATCTGGGTGACTGCGGCGCTAGGTTTCAAGCCCTGGACACGAATGCCTAGAGGGTGCACTGTTCAGCATTCTAGGATGGCGACGCCCGCGTGGGAAAGGCACATAGGCATAGATAGGCCAGATGCCAAAAAGTTTGTGTGGTGCATACCTGGCATGTCGGGGTCGATGCCTTGCACGGGCATGGTGTGCAGAAACTGGTGCTCGCAGGGGTACAGGGGCACCTTCACCTCCGGCTGGTTCATCTTCCCCACGTGACGCCCCAGCTGCACCCGTCGAATCATCGAGTAAGCCGCATGCAAAAGAACCTCGACAAACAAGCAATTCTTGTATGCATCTGTGGGACTCTAAACGATTTTGGCTTGGCTGAGGTCAATTGGAATGAATTCGTCGAGCAAGGGATGAACCTAAAAAATGTTGTATTGCAGGAATGAGGCAGTCAAGTGTGTATGTGGCTCCTACATTAATTGAGTAATAGCACAAAATTTTCTCCGTAAGGTCTGGGCTGTTTTTAACTCGAGGAATCACAAACGAGTACTGAGGGAACATATGGGCCTAAAAATGGCAACGAGCTGTACACAAACTGATAGAAAGACGTTGTGAGAAAGAAGTGAGGTGGCAGCACAGCTGTACAAAACTTCTTGATCCAATGCATAATGTCAGAAATATGCAGAATGCTTTTTTTCACCAAATTTAGCGGACAGTGGTCACGTGACGGCATCAGCATGCCAGGGATCACGTGAGGTCATTGTGCTTTGCTATCATGTGAAACCATGAAGTAACAAAGACATCTGCTCGTCTGCTTCGTAGCCATTTGCTGAGAAAAGCGAGTGGTTTACTGAAGCAACAGCTACTGTCAAAGTAGCAGATGCCGTCTTCAGGTGCTGCTGGGGTTTTCTATGGCACTACGAAACGGTAGAAGATCAGAAGATCGTAAAAGATGTCTTGGTGTATAATGTGGCAAATATCCTTCGTAAATATGCAGGAAAAAAACATTAAAATGCCCTTCTCTCTTTTTAACTCTGTTTGTCATAGCACATTGCTCCATTAAAGGGATACTACAACGAAATTTCGGCGCTTATTTTTTGGTCTATATATGTTCAAAGGAGCAGCATCACATCGAACATACCAATATCTTGTTGTCACGGGTGATGACCAAAAAAAACAGGAAATAAACAGAAAGAAATAAACGTTTAATGTGGCGAACTTGTGCCAAAAATAAACGAGTACAAAAGATAATAATAGAGCGTCGCGGGCGTCGAAGTCGGCGTAGCAGCAGAGTCGAACGCTGGTGCGAAACTGACTCCGTTCGCCTTGCGGAATCCCTTATGTACCCTCGTGGGTTTCTGGATCGTTCGGCGTAGAAGGTTCGGCGCGTAGAACATTCTGACCTCGAACAAGCAACATGGTTCTCGAATTTACCAGAATATTACTTTACAGAGTCAACAAAAATGCGCCTCCGCGGCCAGGAATCGAACCCTGGCTTTCAGCGTGGAAAGCACGCGCGATAACCGTTAGGCCACGCGCGCGCTGCCTACTTGGTCAGCTGCGCGCGCGGCATTACTCCCCCGTTTAAAAAAGTGCATCGTCCCGATGCAACCCAAAAACAAAATGAAGCAAATAAAACAGAACGGTAAACTAAAGAGTCACATAAGGTCCACAGTCCTATCGAGCGTAGTACGGCTTCAGTCGCACGACGTGGACGACTTCCGGTCGTGGAGGGCGGCGTGACGAAGTCCTTGTTCCGTCGGGCATCACCTCGTAGTTCAGATCCCCGAGTCGACGAAGCACTTTGTAGGGTCCAAAGTATCGTTTCAGCAATTTCTCACTGAGGCCGCGGCGACGGATGGGCGTCCATACCCACACCCTATCTCCGGGCTGGAAGTGGACGTCCCTGCGACGAAGGTTGTAGCAGCCGGCGTCGACGCGTTGCTGGTCTTGAATCAGGAGTCGGGCAAGCTGGCGAACTTCTTCGGCGCGTTGAGCAACCGCCTGGGCGTCGTCGCTCTCGTTGCCAGATGGCTCATGGGGCAGCATGGCGTCCAGCATGGTCGTTACCTTCCGACCATGTACCAGCTGGAAAGGGGTGAATCCAGTGGTCTCTTGAACCGCCGTATTGTAGGCGAACGTGACGTAGAGCAGCACCTCGTCCCACGTCTTGTGCTCTACGTCGACGTACATAGAGATCATATCGGCGATTGTCTTGTTGAGTCGCTCCGTCAGCCCGTTGGTCTGCGGGTGGTACGCAGTTGTACGACGATGGCTGGTGTGACTGAGTCGGAGGATTTCTTGGGTCAGTTGTGCCATGAAGGATGATCCGCGATCTGTAATCAGAACTTCTGGAGCGCCGTGCCGGAGGACGATGGACTCAATGAAAAACTTGGCAACTTCCACAGCAGTCCCCGAAGGAAGAGCTTTCGTTTCGGCGTACCGCGTGAGATAATCTGTGGCGACGATGATCCAGCGGTTCCCCGACGTCGAAGGCGGAAAAGGACCAAGTAGATCCATTCCGATCTGCTGGAAGGGTGCAGTTGGAGGAGAAATAGGCTGCAGGAGTCCGGCCGGCCTCGTCGGAGGTTTCTTGCGTCGCTGGCACTCGTGGCATGATCGTGTGTACAGGTGGACGGTCTTGGGGAGCTTGGGCCAGTAATAGTAATACTTTTCACGAATACGGGCCAGTGTCCGGCTGTATCCAAGGTGTCCGGACGTCGGGTCGTCGTGACATGCTTGAAAAATCTCCCCTCAAAGGTCGGTTGGGATTACCAGCAGCCACGGCGAGTTGCTGTCCCCGAAGTTCTCTTTGTAGAGTACACCTTGTCGAATGGCGAAGGTCGGCACGGCTCGTGAGAAAACACGGGGTACGGTACCGCCGCGCCCTTCCAGGTGCTCGATTAAGGCTCGCAGCTCCGGATCGTCTCGTTGACGTCGTGCCATGTCATCGGTGTTCACTGCCCCTAGAAAGCACTCGTCATCATCGTCGTCGTTGCTGCCGGAAGGTGTTTCGACAGGGGCCCTGGACAGGCAGTCAGCGTCGCTGTGCTTGCGTCCTGACTTGTAAACCACAGTCATGTTGAACTCTTGTAGCCGGAGGCTCCATCGAGCGAGGTGTCCTGACGGGTCCTTGAGGTTCGCAAGCCAGCAGAGCGAGTGGTGGTCCGTGACTACGCGGAACGGGCTTCCGTACAAGTACGGACGAAATTTCGTGATTGCCCAGACGACCGCAAGGCATTCTTTCTCAGTCTTGGAGTAATTTCTCTCTGCCTTGAACAGTGTCCGACTTGCGTAGGCGATGACTCGTTCGGTGCCTTCTTGTACTTGAACTAGTACCGCGCCAAGTCCTGCGTTACTTGCGTCAGTGTGAATCTCGGTGTCCGCATCCTGATCGAAATGTCCAAGAACCGGAGGCGTCTGGAGTCGTCGCTTCAGCTCGTCGAATGCCAGCTGCTGTTCCTCGGCCCATTCGAACCTCTCGGCGTCCTTCGTGAGGTTTGTGAGCGGTGCGGAAATCCGTGCGAAATCCCGAACGAAGCGACGATAGTAGGCGCAAAGTCCAAGGAATCTTCGCACGGCTTTTTTGTCTGTCGGCGCTGGAAATGACGCGACGGCGCGAGTCTTCTCAGGGTCTGGGCACACGCCTTCGTTGCTAACCACGTGACCTAGAAACTTCAGTTCGTCATAGGCGAACCGACACTTTGACGGCTTGAGGGTGGGTCCAGCGGTCCGTATGGCTTGAAGAACAGCTCGGAGTCGTCGCAAGTGCTCGTCGAAGTCGCTGGAAAATACCACGACGTCATCGAGGTAGACCAGACAGCTCTGCCACTTCAGTCCTGCCAGTACGTTGTCCATAACACGCTGGAAAGTTGCTGGCGCCGTACATAGTCCGAAGGGCATTACCTTGAACTCGTACAGCCCATCCGGCGTGACGAAAGCTGTCTTCTCTCGGTCCCGTTCGTTGACTTCGATCTGCCAGTAGCCGCTCTTCAGGTCCATCGATGAGAAGTATCGAGAGTGGCGCAGCCGGTCTAACGTGTCGTTGATTCGGGGGAGTGGGTAGACGTCTTTCTTCGTCACCGCGTTCAGCTGCCGGTAGTCCACGCAGAACCGAAGCGTTCCGTCCTTCTTCTTAACCAGTACGACCGGAGAGGCCCACAGACTGCTTGATGGCTGGATTATGTCGTCGTTCAGCATCTCTTGAACTTGCTCCTGGATCACCTCCCTTTCTTTAACGGAGACTCTGTATGGTGATCGATGCACAGGGCGCGCGTCGTCCTCGGTAATGATGCGGTGCTTCGCAACGGCTGTTTGGCGTACCTTCGACGATGTCGCAAAGCAGTCACGGTATTCGGCGAGGAGGTTAATCAGCTGCCGTCGTTTCGGGTCCGGAAGCTTAGGGTCGATGTCAAGTTGCGCTGGCGACGTACCGTCTTGCTGAGGTGGCGAGGATTCATCAGTAATGGCAGCGATTTCGGCGGAGTTTCGGAGATCCTCGACGTGGCCAACGGCTGCACCTTTTGTGAGGTGTTGCGTTTCATTCCGGAAGTTCGTCACGAGGACCACAGTGCGGCCATCCTGAAGTTCAGCCACTCCTCGTGCGACGCCTATTCCTCTTCCCAGGAGCAACTGGAGGTTACCTTCCAGAAGAACTTCGCTACGGGTAGCTGCATCGGTCACGACGGGTACGACAACACTTGATCGCGGCGGTAGATTCACGTGGTCGGCAGCGACTCGGACGGCGGCTGACGCAGTTTGGAGTTTCTCTGAAGGCGGAACAGGTGTCCGCAGCGTCAGTCTGTTTTCTCCAAGGTCGATGACTGCGCCGTATTCACACAAAAAGTCCATGCCGAGAATGACGTCTCTGGAACAGTCTTGTAGAATGACGAATTTCACAGGACACGTCTCGCCGTGAATTTCGACGCGAGCGGTGCACCTTCCGACAGGCGTGATGAGGTGTCCTCCGGCGGTTCGTATCTGCGGTCCATCCCACGGCGTCGTGACTTTTCGAAGGTGGCGAGAGAGCCTCCCACTCAATACTGAGCGGGGTACCGCATGCCCCTGCCGCGTACCCCTCCGAAGGCCCGCAGTGCAAGTCCGACGCCTAGCCCACGAAGAACCGACGAAAGCACTTCCGAGATCCGGTTCAGTCGTCGCACCCAAGGTCTACACCCGGAATCCGCACCTCCACCAAAATGTCACGGGTGGTGACCAAAAAAAACAGGAAATAAACAAAAAGAAATAAACGTTTAATGTAGCGAACTTGTGCCAAAAA